CAGTTGTTTTAGTTTAATTCTATCATGACACATTTGTCAAGAGATGAAAAACTGATTTATACCATAAATGAATAATTTGCTGACAAAATGAAAATCACCAATGAGCTATTTCACGCCTCTTGTAATAAGAAGGAACTCTTAGCCGTGTGAAAATTAGAGCAATGGTGAGTGTAATTATCCATGTATTACCAACTGTGATGATAAATTATGATAATTGTGCACCTTTTACATATATGTTTTTAGACAACAAATATCTACAATGGCTATTTTACTTTACAGGAATGTTTAGCTTTTAAAGAGGCCATTTTATTTCAAGTCCATCTTCATAAGTCTTCAAAGTGTTTATTTAACTCTTGAACTATGCCGCAATTGCGTATATAAAAATTACAAATACACGATGCTAGTAATACTTTAAACTTACGACGATAATTTTCTCTTGACAGATCTTCACAGCCGCTCGTCTTGCCGGATCAGCTGGTGGCAGTAAAAGCCCAGCGTTGAACTCGGCACTGTGACACACAGGGAAGGCATCCCTGTGCCTCCGGGCTGCTTGCACGCCTTCCCTTCGGCACCCCGTGTCACCAAACAGGAGCGTTCCCACCGTCTCTTTGGCTTCCACTGGGAGTTATTCCGTAAACCGCACGCCGCCACCGCCACTCGCCCCGGCAAGTGACAGCAAGCGGTCCGCCTCAGACTTTAAACTCGTCCCCGGCAGCCAAGTGTGTTTGCACAATAGTCCAATCAGTTCATCTCCTCCGCCGAACCCCCCACACACACACCCGCCTACCTCCCGAATCGCGAGTCCCACCTGCCATATGGTGCGCTGCTGTTGGCGGGGTGGATGGAGGTGGGGGCAAGGCGGTGGCCGATTTGGGATGGCGAGAGACAGGGACCTCTCTGCTTCTTGTTAATATAGCAATCTTTGAGGAATTGTGCTGGTATTGAGTGATTGCGTTTTGAAATCTGAGGTTGTAACAACAGGACGGAGGGGGAAGAAAAGTACTGTATACGCTAAACATTCAAATGTCAACGTAATAATGTGGTTGTTTCATTTGATATCCTTGGATCGTATGACACTGATGTAGAATTCTCCAAAAGCAGACATCAACTTCGGTACTTTATGGTATCAGGGTTTACAATGTGTGCGGGGTTACTATCATTTGCATTCTTCAAACATTTTTCAAACAGTAGGACATCCTGTAATGCAGGTCAGCGCTGAGCTACTTCTATTTTTAAAAACAATGATATATGTGTATGTGTTCAGATGAAAAATAACTCAACATCCGCACGCAGACCTGAATTTATGTTTTGAAGTTTTTTTTTCCGCAGAAATGCGAGCACATTAAAACAAATATAGAACTGTAGCTTTTTATGTTTGGCTTCGTGTGTTTACAATATTTGATTATCTTCTGCAAATATTTTTTTTAAATCAATCAATTTTATTGGATTGCAGCTTTGAGAATTTCCGACAATTTTAGTAGCCACAGGACGGTGCCGTCTGCATTTTTAGACTCTCCAGCAATTCGTCTTACTTTGTGTGAGTTACGCGGTTCTCCATGTGCACGAGTCCATGTTAACTCGCCCATCCTCGCTATTAAACACAGTTGTAGGCAACTGCTCCGATTGACCTCCAGGGATCAAGAAAAACATGTATTCCTTATGCCAACTTTAATCTGTGTTAACACACACAGAATACACCCATGCGGACGCCGGGTTTAAGTTTCACTCCGCTCCCACCCTCCACCTCGTGTCTTAAAACCGCGAGCACCTGCCGTTCAGGTGTACGCTCAAACACCTAGAGACGGGCCACCCTCAAGACAAATTTCCCCGAAAATGCAAGCACCTGCCACTAGCTCCCCCACCCCTCCACCCCCTCGTGCTTTTCCTCTGCCTCCATTGTAACCAATGTGTCAAATAATGTAATTCTCCCTGGCACCGATCGGTTTACACATTTTGCACCGCAAACAATCACGGCTTACGCTGGTTGTGTTAGTTTCGTAGCAGCTGACAACGTTATACTCCCTGTTGAATGGGGTTTTTTTTGTAGCAGAATAAAGAAACAGGCGAAATGGGAGGGGCACAGTGAACAACACAAAAGAGACAGAAGAGGGTGGAAGAGGTGACTTTACACAGCTGCCTTTGTGCAAAGTGAAAGCAAGGTGGGAGCGCTGGGCTGCCGAGGATTGAGTTTGTACGGGCACTGGGTAGAGCAGAAGGGGAGGGGGGTGGGTGGTGCAGAGACAAGGGTTGTACAGAAGTCACGTTTCACGTTGACATGAGGCAGCATGTGTCATTTAGACCGAAGCAGGTAATGAATTCTTGATGACTTTCGCAGACGCTGGAGAGTGTTCGTGCGGGCGGCAAGGGCTTTTGCTCGTCTGGCACGCATCTGATCTCGGCACACGTCGAGTGATTAGCGATCACCTCCGCACACGTGTCAACTATGCTGGCTGGTCGCCTGGCACAGGTGCCATAAATCATTTGCAAAAATCTTGACTCAGGGCGCGTACGCAACAAGGGTGCGCAAACCGCATTTCCCTGGACTTTCTTGACGCACTGGGACAAAACTTTGGTAAGGACGTAATAAGGAAAACAAAAATGTGCTCACCGTCGACGTAGCGCTAACACGTTGAAGAGCTAACGGCGCGTCGCCCGCATGAGCTCGCGTGCCGATGATGAGCATTACGTGCACTTCGATGAGAAATCCTTCACGGGATATTATTTTGACACCGGATTGTTTTCACAATTAATTTGTGCAGGAAGGAGGTGCGCGGTGCAGTGGACAGCCGATGCGTTCTGCACGTGTGCAGGGGGACGTGCAGGTTCGACGGACGTGGAGAGATGAAAGGTGGCGCGGGCGGAACCGGGCCCCTTCCGTCACGCCACGGGAGCCGCCCCGCGCGGCCCAATCGATTTCACCCTCGCGCCGCTCATTCTGCGCTTCCAACCCGAGATGCAGAACCACTGCAAAAACGATCGTGGCTACCCTCCAGGATGACGACACTGCTCGCATCTTTGATGGGTCATTGCGTGTTTCATTACCTGTACACACTGTGCGTAATCGGAGTAGCCCGTGGTGCGATGGTGAGCAAACTGGGCGTTCTCCCCGCATGACCATTGAAGCCATAGGCAGGACGATTAAATCCACCCCGCTATGTCAACCCAGCAGCGTAAATGGGTGCACCACAGATGGTTGATCGGCAGGTTGCGTGTAGTGGCCTAAAGTGTGGTTATTCCCAATTCTTCCAAGACGTCTTACCAGCGTGGCCAGCAATGGCATCAGCAAGCATTTACTTTATACAGGTGGAGTGTCATCTCAGTAGTTAGTGGACTATACTATGAACCCGGTGACCTGAGTTTGATTCTCTACCACGGCTATCATCATAGGCGAAATATCTGAATGCGTCATGGGTTTCCCCCCTTCACAACCTGAACGGATCAGCATGGTGAAATATGGTAAATACAACCCGCAAGAGCAATAAAGCAAAGGGATGCACTCATCCGGCAGTGGATTGACCAATTGGCTGTAATTTCTAGATTTGAAGTTTTCGTGACTGCAAAGACCGGTAACATAGCGTGGTTGGCATACCTCCTGGTGCAAGGAGTGAAATGGATACTCTTTGGTTCTTTCGGTAAAGTCACGTAGATGAAAAATAAAAAATAAAATAATGAAAATAATAAAATGTAAATGACTAAATTAAATCACGACGTTTCGGGCGCAACACAAGCGTCCGTCATCAGGTGGTAAAGCGGTCATTTACTAACTTACCATGTATAAGCGCTATTCTGCTTCTTTATCCACATTTCATAGTGACCCTTCCGGCATGTGTTGTATACGCAACGCATCCTGGTGCAGTCAAGTGATTGGTGTTGGTATTTTAATTCAGCACTCAAGTCATGATTCTGCTCTTTCAAACGCTCCGTCTCCATTTATGCGGAGCCAGTATCGGAAGTTCCATCATTTTGTGGGGATACCCATTCTGTCACTGTGCCGACTACTGCTGCCTCACCAGGTGGTGCTCATTTTAGCAACACCAGAAAGATGATGATGGTGGGCTGAGTCGACTGACAGATTCTTGAACTCACGACCATAGGGGTCATGAGCTCAGTGCTCCACTGACTCAGTTATCCTGACTGTTATGAATTTTTAATTGGGCCAGAGTTAAAGAGAGATACCTATGCCAATAAACACACCAGGATAGTCGACACATTGGATATTGTTTCTTCGTTCGCAATATATTTGGAAAGTGCATGCAACATAATAATGATTATGACACCCATATTAAACAACATACGATCGGACTATTGTCATGGCAGTGTGCTGATGTGTCTGTAGGTATCAGCTTTGTACAGTGCATAGGTAAATAATGGAAGTATATTTTAACATTCTTTTTTTCACAGTAGTGTCTTCTTTCAAATGAAAGGCCCACTGATAGCTTTGCTTTCATGCTACACTTTGTTCTTTGGCTCAGCGTAAGCGGTTTAAACGGGAACGTATCTGGTTGTCTTTGCGAGGCACCATGTGGGTCTATAATGTTCATCAGTCGACCGGTCTAACGGTGTCTTTTTCACACATTTTTATGCGTATCATATAGCTGCTCAGTTCAGACAGGAATTATATTTTATTATGGCTTGGTTTATCGATTGTTTTATGATGATTTAGAGTTTACACTAAGATATTCTTTTATTTCAATTTTTAGTAAAAAAGTTTTTTACTTAAATGCTTACAGTATGTTTTTCTTTAAAGCTTTCGTGACTGCAGGGAATCATATTCTTGGTTCTTTCGGTAAAGTCACTTAGAAGGGAAACAATAAACAAATATAAAACAATAACATTTTATCGTTTTATATTTTTTTATTGTTTCCCCACATGGTGATTAAGAACAAATATAAAACAATAAAATTATATCGTTTTATATTTTTTTTATTGTTTCCCTTCTACGTGACTTTACCGAAAGAACCAAGAATATGCTTACAGTATCTTAAGACACCCTTTTCGGATTTTTAACGAACAATACTAGAATTGACAACGTCCCCCCCCCCCAGATTTATTGTAATTCCCAAATTGAGGTGATGTATAAAGCAGACAAGGCAGTGGCACCGTGGTTTACTGAGTTCGGTGACCTGAGTTTGATTCCCGGCCATAGGTAACATAAGTGATATCTGAATAGACCCTACTGACCTGCATAGTTAAGTATGGTTGAACAGCCCCCAACGATTGACATGACATGGAGAGTACTTCACTAAGCAGTATATTGAGAATGAGTAGGGGTGCAATACACAAGTGTACACATTCCAATATAATAGCCCTGGCCAGGTGCACATGGCCAAGTGTCCTGTCTAAAGGGTACTGTACTAATCAAGCTTTGGACAATACCTCAGTATCAATCTTGCTGAATCTCTACTCTTAAAGTGATCAGAGGTAATTATCTACTTTTGTTTTTGGATGGCAACATTTTCATTCAGGTACCTTTAATTATATGTTTTGTGCTCTGATTAAGAACATTTCAGTTACATTCGAGTATGTCATGAATACATCTTTATTGTATACACAACCAAGATGCCTGTCGATACCAACAACACGATCGAAAATGGTTGAACACAAGCGGAAAGTTCAATCAAAGCCAAAAGTTGTTAAGTTTCACAGCACTGCCCCTGTTTACCCAAAAACAAATGAAGAACAAAGCAGCTGATTACAAATGACGATCACAATCAATCCCTATGCCTTGGAGTGACGCCTGCAATTAGAGGGGCGATGCATGTTGTGTGGCCAACTGTTAAAAACCATCAATTACGCATTCCCTTTGTTAATCACTTCAGCCCTGCTCCCCTCCCCCCCACCTCCTTAAAATGCCCTCCTAAAACAACACGAACCTTTAACGCGCCAAAACATGTGCGCCACTTGTACGAACACGAGCAACATGCAAGGAAGTGCTTGCTCCACAATGTGCCCCCGCACAACTCGCTGAGCGGAGGGCGCTCTGTTGTCGGGCACACGCCTAACTCAGCGGGAGACTCCCGGCCGGACCTGTTAAACCCATCTAAATCACGCGGCACGTGTTGCCCGGGCGCCCCCCCCTGTGATGTGACACACTCCACCCCTGCAGGTGGCCCCTGAACCTTTGGGGGCTCCGTCTGCTAACACAATTACCCTCGGGCGCCCCAGCCCCACTTAACTCATCCGAGGGGCCACGGAGCTGCAGCCAAAGGCAACACGGCCCGGTGGCCCCAAGAGGGAAGATTCCGCCTTAAAGACGACCGACGGCACACTCCAGAGCGGACGCAGCGGTGAGACGGGGGTGAGAGACCAGGGCAGAGGTCAGCCGAGTGAGGTCACTTAAGGCATACCTACCTCTGGCTGTATAGTTGTGGTTAATTAATGGCTCTGTTAATTGGATAATTTCTGCGGTGGTTTGGTCGATTTCGGCACAAATCCAGCGCAATCGACTCGTGTCCATTGCATACTCAATCAGAACATCATTACATATTTTGGCAATAGCATTGTTTTAAATACACTTTCATGATGTTTAATATATATACATTTTATTTAGACTAGTATATATTTTTTGCAGGATCAAGTGATGAAATAAAGAGGTGAGTGATTACAGGTCGGAATATTTTAAGAACATTTTATTTGATAATGAAAAGTGGAACTGGCGTGGCGCTGGTTAGTGCACTGCACTATGAACCTGGTAACTTTAGTTTGATTCCCAGCCACAGCTTACATTGGTGGGGAGTGATATCCGAATCTGTCCTGGTGGTGAGCAATATCTGAACTCTGTCCTCCTATCAGCAGCCTGCACTGACTAGCATCGTGAAGTATGGTCAAACAGCCAACACGACCATCTAGCAGTTGATTGACAAAGGAACGTTATATTTATGCACGTAATCACGACTAATCTCTATGGAACTTTACAGTTAAGAGTTTGACCTCATCCTGTGTTTATTGCATCAATGCGTGTTTGAGCATAATTAGCCTCCTGTGCAATCCCATTAAATCCATTATCTCTAAAGTGTCTTGACATGAGTCTGGCAGCGACACACTCCCGTTGTTTGGAGTGAAAATAGACAGAGCGGCAAACACAGCAGCTGAAGAGACAAGCACACGTGCAGGCCACATGTACGGTTGTTTTGGCAGCAGTGTGCAAATGCGTGGAGGTGGCGGTGGAACAACAATGCAAGGCCACATTCGGGGGAGGGTTTTTATTAATTAATTCTGCAACAGGCCTCATTTTTGGGATATTTCCACTGCTTATTATTGTATTTTAATAAGAAGTGAAACTCGGAGACAGGATGAGCAGTTCATATCACATATCCTGTTTACAGTGGCCTCTTGGATAAAGCACATGATCCACGGGGTCATTTAGGATGGGATGTAAGCGGCACACTGAAAATACATTACAGCACTTACATTATTATCGTAACCTTATAAGTTAACACACTGTGAAGGAAAATGGCACAAATAATGCAGGAAATGTTGGATATTGTACAGTGTCTTTTTTTAATACGAGAGCTTGATATATATATATTTTTTTACAACTGTTACATATTAGGACATATTCAAACTATATGCGGCATAACCTGATTTTACAAAAAACCGGAAAAGGTAGTTACGGTGCCAAGGAAAGCAACGTCGTTCACTTCTGTGAAGTTCACTGATCTGACAGCAATAACAGCAAAGGAAACAACAAGTTTGGAAAGAGAAGTGCTGAAAGCTGTTTCATGCCCATTACAACATTGCATACAAATACGACGCGGTGTTCTCTTCCATCTCACATTTACCAGCTCCCATCGTGACACAGAACAGAAGCTTGCGCTGGTGAGTATTATGTAGGTTTTTTTACATTTATTATCACAGTACTTACGTTTTCATAAGGAAAAGCAAACTCAACTAAGAGCTTCAGAGCGACATGCAGGAAAAAAACCAGGTAGTTGCAGGAAATGTTCACGAACGGCGTTATCCAGCAAGCTGCTCTCCATCACACCTGCAGCCGTATTACATACTATGTATACAACTTTGATTAATTCTATATATCACTTCAGTATTGTCACTGTTGGTGGAGTATGGTCAAGCAACCACCGCAGCCAAATTCGCATTTTTTTCAGTGGCATGACAGAGGGCTGTAAATAATGATCGATATTAAAGGTAGAGTGGTAATCGAGTGGTTAGTGCACTGTACTATGAACCCGGTGACCTGAGTTTGATTCCTGGCTTTGGCTTTCATCAGTGTTGAGTGATATCTGAACCTGTCCATAACCACGAGGGTTTTTGCAAAGTATTTGAGGAATTTTACATTTCTCAATTTACGTCAGCTACTGTCATCCTCTTCAGCTCGCTGTTACCTGCGAATCCAATGTTCAGGTTGTGAAGGGAGCATAGTTCATACATTTTTACCAGTATAGTATTATTATAAGCAAAGCAAAAGTCTCGCTGAACAAAAGTACAATTATTTTGATTGATACAAACGGGAAAACACACCAAAGTATTTATGCCAAGGAAAATTATTGAAGGTGGACGAAGAGCAACATGATGGGGTGAGCGAAAGCATGTTGAAGTACTTTTGGAAAATGTTATTCGATGGTGAAAAGCAACGTACCAATGTGGCTGAAGGATGTAGATGTCAATCATTGCATGACAATCAGTACATATGTGGAATGTAAACAAGAACACGAGCAAAGAATACGAAAGGAAGATGACAAGTATGCAAAAAAATAACTGAGAGATGCATTCTGGGAATTACAATGATATAGAAATGCACGTTTCGGAACAAAATAAATTGAGAGGTGTAATTTCGACTGTTCATGAAAGTGGGCTTGGGCAGGACTCATCGCTAAGACGGATAATAGCAGATGGATGAGACTGGTGATGGAATGGCTGTCGAAAGAACACAGTCAAGATGACAAACACTGCAGCGCTTGAGCGATCGGATAAGCTCATGTGCAGGGGCAGGATGAATTACGGCATCATCAAACTGGGAGTGGCAACGCCATGGGGAGGCCTCCATCCAGCGGTGCGTTGAAAATGGCTATTGAAGATTATGTTGATAACCATAGATCTCGATGGCGTGTGCCATATCTGGTGGTATGTGGCAGTTGGAAAGGTGTGTTTTCCAAAATTTTTTTTTATCTTTCGACTCACATGGCATTTTAATCGGTGGGTTGTCGCGTTTTTAATTACTGGCCTGTCACTGCGGCACACCGCCAGTGTTTGCTCGTGCGTCCTGTCAAAACATGCCAGCGGGATATAGCAGAGCTCTTCGGCAAACAACAACAAGCGGATGAAGAAAACATTGCCAAGGAGCAGCGGCTGTGCCTAATGAGTACGACTCACGCCTCTCAAAGAATGCGCAGAACGTTAAGCCAGGCAGCACATGGCGTGCCACGATAACACCAAGTACAAGTCTTTATCTCCGCCCATGACTCACTGCCTCTCTCTACAAAATTAATATGCCCACTGTTTCTGTACAGCTTCTTAACATTGTTGTATTTAGCGGACACGATATTTTCAAATGTGCTGCATTGTTCACATCCTGTTCTGATTTTCAACATTCTCAGATCTTGTTGCACCCATGTGAGGTCTCTCTTCCTGATCCTCATTCTTCTCTCATTTCTGGCCTGGACCATCATCTCCACATCCATGCCACAGTCCTTCATCTTCGCGTTCACCATTTGGAACTGCCTCTTTCTGATTCTCAGTATTCATTCAGAACATTTGTATTGTAAAATGGATTATTAGTTTTATCCAGGGTGCTTTTCAATAGGTTAAATATATAGTCCCAAACACAGATCAAAGAACGTTTGCAGGTCAAAGACCATTTTGATTCTTCAGAAAATGTAGTGGACTCTGGCAAGATATGTGGCTCGAAGGGATGATAGCCGGGAGTCGAGACTGATAATGGAGTCCCAGCCAAAGGAAAGGTACAAGCCGAGAGGACTACCACTGTCGAGATGGAGCGATGGGATCAGCTCATCTGTAGGAACGTGCTGGATTGTGATATTACGAGACTGTGGACGTCGGTGACTTACGGAAGCCTTAATTCACATTGCTTATGACAACAACAATAAAACAATCAGTGGCAGTTAAGGGAGCGATTATGATTGAGATAACACACACTGTGGAGATGGAGCGATGAAATCAGATCATATGCAGGTGCCGGGTGTGTTGCATCATAGGATCGTGAGCAACATTGACTGCTTGGGGAGGCCTTCATCCAGTCGTGCATTAATCTCGGTCGATGATGATGATGCTAAGTTACCAATGTTTTCTGCTGTGTTTAAGATTCACGTGCTTTCTGCTTCCCCATGTTGTCTGTTAAAGCACCACCTGCCGCCGTAATAGTAGTGGCAGGTGTGTCGACAAAGTTGTCTTGGGGCTGGAATTTGGCTGAAAAACGCAGACTAATTCAGCAGGTACCTGAGCGGCAGCTGCAGCCTGCCAATCAAGCAAAAAAAAAGTTCACAAACCAGCTGCCTTGATGCTTATCGCCGCTTATCACTCCCATCGTTGCACTTGTTGCGTCTGCACTGTAAACGGTGCCAAAACACGAATGACAATAGCCCACGCCGATCTCTGTGTATGTCGGTGCAAGCGAATTATTGATGCAAACTTTTCAATGAGACTGAGGCAGTAAGAGATAACGTCTATCATCTGCTTTCGTGAGACATTTAATTCCGGTCACCAAATAAAGCTTCAATGGCCACTTGGTGGCCACACTTGAAGCAGAGTCCATCGCAACGCGCACAATACCACTCACTAGGTTGAGTCAGTTCGACAGCGACGCATTTCCATATGAAGTGCATTCGTCCGTGCACGTTCAAGCACCAACTCAAGTTGCTGCTGCTCCATATCAAATAGATTCCTGGCTATTTAAATAATTGACTAAGCCACACACCGGCCATCTGCCCTTGCTCTCCTTTTTCAGTCCTGGCACAGGTGAACAGTGCAATGACTTAAGCCCCCTTAAACACCCAATTGTAGTAACCTTTTACAATGGCCTCTTAATAACGTCATGTCACTCTTCGCCTCACTGCCTCAGATTTGAGCGTAGCGCTTGCTACGCGTGTCCAGTTTTGTGATTAACTTAATGCGTTGAGATTTGTTTTGTTACATAAGTGCTCTCTTTTGGAAATTAGTTTTTTTTACCGTTCAGACAGTTCAATATAGCGTGATGAATATTGAATAATGTGCCATCGATGAACAAAGAAAAAACATACGTGGCTTCATATGTTGTGTAACTACTGTGGATAGGAAGTGGGTGAACATTATGTTTTAGTTTTTTCAATATTTTATTCTCGTGTTATTTGCAAAATGTCATGAAGTGACGTATCCATTTGAAAGCTTTGCTCAGCAGTTTAACCACGTATATGTGCGAGGAGCTTTTGAAAGAAAATATAGAATTGCACCTAAAATATTTTCAAGTAATCCTTTCTTTATCCACACATTAGTATCATATTTACCCACCAGCCCTGGAGCCTAGACAACATATTAAACCGAAGAACGCATTTAATGAAGACCAAATATAATGTTTGTTGCATGACAGTCAAACTGATATTTTAATCCTCAGAGCTGGAATTTACCCAAATTCAGTGCAAAATGAAATTCAATGCCATGTGTTTCGTAGTCATTGGTGACCTGGCTGAGACCATCACCTAGCTTAATTGGAGAAGTCGTTTTAAAAACAGATCATTGGAACTTTGAGTCAAACCCAGGATCTCTGAACCGTGCCGGCTCAGTGCTCTGGCCCTGAGCCAATAATCCCACCACCTCCACCAAGCAAAGTTTAATACTAAAATACCTATGTCTTAAATGAATGATGTTCAAACAAGAACTGATGACCGAAAGCATTCATGAATGAGACTGTAATTCAACAAACAAAAAACTTTTAACAAAGAACAATGCCATCAAGAGCTATTACCCTTTTTTACGTGAAATAATCCGTACCTATATATTTTTTATACAGCTACCAATGCAACGACTACAACAACAAAAAATGCAGTTACGAATGGCGAAGCTGCGGCAAGGGCATTAAGATGGAGGAGCGAAGCTGAAATGTTTGTGCTGTGGCTTTCTTGATGTCGGCTGCGCTCGGCTGCGTGGTGCTGCTGGAGCCGGCCACGCGCTTTGCCCTTCACACCGCCCCCCTGCCCTGTTCGGTCTCCTCCACGGTTATCTCCGAGCCAAACAGCATCTCTACCAAAGCCACACACAACCAGCAGAAGCAGCAGCAGGAGATCACACGCACGCTAACTTAATCGTGCGTGGAACAGCTACAGAATACCCAAACAAACAACAGAGAATGTTTTGATAAGGTCATGCAGTTGCTGGCAGAGATGGAACAAAAATATATATACGTTCAAATACAAATTCCTGAAATAAAGTCACGTAGATACAAACGACCAATTAAGCAATTATTGTGAGACTTGAAAACATATTACCGATTACTTTGAGGTGTATAGTTTAGATATCAATTACTAATTACTAATGTGATGAAATTACATGTTTTAATTGTATACACTGCCCATCTCTGGAAATCACTTGCTGCACATGTTCAGGCAAAGCCATTGTAAAACGTATCAATATTTGGCAGACATAACCTCTCACATCGATTTATTATTATTAAACTTGTTCGCCAGGAAAACTTGAGTCTACATATTCTTTTTCAGGATGGAACTTCCACATTTTTTGCAGTAGCGGCCAGAATTGCTACGTTTTCGAATTAAGGAATTTGCGGTAGAATTTTTCAAATTTGGATCATGACGCTGGCATGCAAAATACTATTTTGTCTTCGAATGACATCACAGGATCTTAAATTCCCACTGTGAAGCAAATGGAGACTATTTTATGGTGAATACTCTCACAGTATTAACCAGAGGGGCCTCCGGGATTTGAACCCCCGAATGCCCTGCCGCCGGGCCACGTTCACCGCCCCAATGTGAAGTTTATAAAATATTCATGAACATCATCGTCATCGCAAGCCGTGATCAATGAACATCATCGTCATTGCAAGCACGTGATCAATGAACATCATCGTCATCGCAAGCACGTGATCAATAAACATCATCGTCATCGCAAGCCGTGATCAATGAACATCATCGTCATCGCAAGCACGTGATCAATGAACATCATCGTCATCGCAAGCACGTGATCAATGAACATCATCGTCATCGCAAGCACGTGATCAATGAACATCATCGTCATCGCAAGCACGTGATCAATGAACATCATCGTCATCGCAAGCACGTGATCAATGAACATCATCGTCATCGCAAGCCGTGATCAATGAACATCATCGTCATCGCAAGCACGTGATCAATCCCTGCTGGATGAAGACCTCCGCCGGCCGTCGCCATCTCAGATCTTAATCAGAATATTTATTCATCCTGGAGAAACCCGATGAGCTACTAAGCTATTTTTCACAAATGTAGAGTAGGGCTCGGTAAGAATGTTACAGCACCAATACAAACATGATAGTAATGCAAGTACAAGCAAGGTAAACAAATCATCCAAAACATACATATAAAACGAAATCATCCCCATTCCACCAGGGGAAAGCCCACTAAGGTATTAACTTATTTTTCAGAAGCAACCTGGCCTCAAATTATAGCTCAAAAAAGTCGCTCATCATATATACATTTATAGCAGCAAAATAATCTAAATAACTTAAATCAGTGTCTCACAGTCCTGCGAGGTAACAAGCATCAATAGAGTTGGGGAACAAATGAAGACATCCGTCTTGGTGCACATTCCACCTCTTTAAGTCTGCATCTCTTTGGATTTCATGTCTTGTGAAACAAGATTGCAGCGGTTTGTGATAATGAGCTCGTGTCACGTTTCCTTTACAAGGAACGCTTTACAATTGGCGGTTCCAGGCGAAAGTGCCCTGCAGCTAATCACAATTGACACTCCGCTGTCTTAACAAAGCTTGCATTGTGTCATGTGCAGGTGGAAGCATTTGTTAATGAAACCACCGCTATGCGGCTGACACTGATTAATTTATAACTGCTGCGGCGAACCGCTTTCACAAGATGCTACGTGTACACGTTCAGACATTTTTTTGTCTGAACGTGGGGGTTATTTTGTGAAGGCGGAGAGCATAGACACGGGAGAAAATAAGTTCATAACAACAACATTTTTGTTCTGCACTGCTTCCTGCTGACCACGTAGCACCACCTCGCAGCTGCCTATGACAACCTGGGGTGTATTGATGGTCACCACAGCTGACATCAATCGCAGTCCTTCGCCAACCCACACTGACCAGCATTGTGAAAGAGTGGGTAAAACCCCTCCGCTACATCCCACCTTGTCCAAAATTCACAGGCATTGGATAGACAAAGGGCTTCAAGTAATGAAATAATTATATTTAACCTTCCGTCGTTTCCGTGGAGGGGCTGACAGAGATGGTGAACCACGCTAGCAGCACGAGAATGGCCGTCACCAGGATGAGTGTCCGCCACGACTCCAGGTGAGTTCTTTCACTGTCCTCGTCCCTGGGCGAGCGTCGGTGCAGGAGGGATGGGGAGGCATTCCAGAATTGGTGGAATTATGGCAACAAACTGAAACGCGGCGATACAATGCCATACCCAACCATACTCGCCATGCAAGACGATTCGGAATCAGAATATGCATGTATACTGGAGCATTCCGATGAGCTATAAAGCGTTTTTTACAGATGTCCAGTAGTCTAGTAGACGTTTGGCTAACACAGCGAGTGTCAAGCCCATCGTCTTAAATTCGGCATTCAACTGGATATGCAATCCAGCAGACATTGTGTGTAACATTTAATTACTTTATACTTTTTGGTTTTCTTGATAAAAAAAAACAATTACAAGCAGAGGTCTGTGGAGGCCATAGGGTGACCAGAGTTTAGAGGGATGGTATGTGCTGATAGGTATACCGATAAGAACAGACGGTATGACGTTCCGACAACAGAAAACAAATATCACGTGGTTGCACACTACGTAACAGCACGTTCCAAACTGATGTGTGTTTGCCATGATATCAACGATGTGAGCACGATGTTTAATATATGTCTTGTAATGTAATGTTATATTGCGTCGTTCATTGCAAATTGCATCTCACAATGCTGTCAAATGTCCAAAGCGCCACAGGTTTTGCACGAAGGCGCAGGGAATCGCAGACAAGCGGAAAGGTAGTCAGAACTACCACCAAAAATTGTCCAAGCTCTGTAGTTCTGTATTGGGACGATTGACCAACTCCATGAATGGGAGTTCGTAAGTGTGGGAAGAAACCAGAGTGCCCGGAGAAAAAAGGCACGCGTGCAAGAAGGGTGACACTCAATCCCCCATGCAGATGGAAATGAATCCACTTGTTGTACTGCAATCATACCCTGGCAAGCCAAGGCGATGGTGACCTCGGCAGCCTTGGGTAGGGGGTTTCAATAATTAGTGTGATCCACCAACCCTTGCCTACACAGTGCCGAATTACAGGCATACACCACCAGTACCTGGCATTATAATACCATTGTGGTGTAAAATGTACCGTATTTTAAATGCACTAGAATACATTAAGTAGTATATAATGTATTTAATATGGAATGATGCTGTGGTGTAATGATTAGAATACTGGACAGTTGAAACAATGGTCACGTTTCTTAAATCCCCTCCACCGCTGTCCACCCAGCAGGATATAAATGGGCACACCACAATTGAACGGCAGGTCACGTGCTGGTGGAGGAGAGCATGGGCACTGCGACTTCTTCAAGAGGGGCTATCCCGAGAGCTCCCTCTAGTGTAGAGCCATCTGCCTGCGGCAGCGTGAGCAAGTAAGTGCAGTAGCATATTTTGCAGCGTATTTTTTGTGCCACCAATATCAGGCCACTTTGAACGACGCACCAGAGAAACAGCGGCAAGTGTTCCGTGGTGCCGAGTGCCGTGTCTGCCGGAGGCTGGTACATACAGATGCGGTCATTTGTCATCGCCTGGCTCAGCATCATCAGCAGGGACAGGCAGTAAACTGAAAACACAGGTCCACAGCGCACGGCACAGTTCACACGGTGGGCTAGGAAAGCCTACACAGAATGACCAGCGATCATCGTCACTGGAATTAAATTAAATACAATGTTGGTCATGGGGGTATTTTTATTTTTACCTATTTCAAATATCACTTGCCGGGAATCAAACTCGGGTCACTGGATTCATAGCGAGGTGTGCTACAACTGCACCACCACTCCACCATTATTATGTAACGAAATGAAACAATTAATGTACAGCCTCTTGGAGCTGTCTGTGCTAGATGGCCACGCACCAGTGTTTGGTGTCTGCGTACATTGGCTGCTACGTTGTACATGAATGTGCACTAAAAATTGCTCTTTACAAGGACGTTACCTATACAGAGCCACGCCGAGGTGTCCATCGTGAACATTCCACGGAAGAACTTCTGTGGCCGGGCAAACTCCGCTCTGCCGTCACACACAATGTCCACCAACAATGATTTTCTACTCAATTTCAGAGTTAATCCGCAGATTGAAAACGTCTGTAATGAAATTGGATCTCACCGCAGTGCTCTCTCGCCTGCGCTTAACTGTACTGGTTGATAGGGCATACGGGTTTAGGTATGAGCCTACAGTGAAAATAAAGAGATGCAAACGCCTGCTTCCAAATGCGATACCCAATCCCATCCTCTACAAGTAAACATAGTTCTCAAGCAATGTTGGCATTACTAAGACGACCAAATAACGGTAGGATGATATTACTGTAAAAATACATTCCAAAGATCCTCCTTGCAGCCTGAACAGACTTTGGGGCAAGTGCTGTTAGCGAGCAGCACCTATGAAGGCCGGCACGGCCAAGGAGGGGGTGGGTGGCCAGCACCACGCCCAGCCGCCTTTTTCTCCCGAGTGGCTCTGTTTACATACAGCAGCAGGTACTCATTTGAGGCTGAGTTGACCTAGTGGAGGCCCACGACCAATTCAGATGATCATCACTGGTGTTGGCTGTGAGCGAGAACTCGAACTCGAGTGGCCAGGTTCGTAGCTCACCGCGCTAACCGCAGCAATGTATGCTTCTTGTGACGAGCGCTTTTGACGATGCCTGGCTTCGTTGCTATTTAAATCATGCTGTCGCCGTGCTGATTTACCTGTCCAGGGCGGACACCATGCAGATGGCAAGCAGCATGTAGTAGAGGGCCTGCGCTGGGTATGCCAGCGGCTGGTAGAAGCGCAGGTTGAACGGGAAGGGCTCCCATGAGAGCGTGCTCACCAGCACCGTGTTCCAGAGGGCGAAACCCGCCAGGAAGCCGTGCGAAAACGTCGCCAGACCCCTGCAAACGCACGCACCATGGAGACGGTGCACGGAAATTTAGCACGGCAGTTTGTGCTCCCGTTGTCGAAAGTAAAAACAACGTTACGTGGGTTCGGGCAGGACACGGAGGATTGACACAGTGTTCGAGACCGATGGCAAAGTGGCAGCCAAAAAGGTGAATGCGGTCGAGAGGATGTGCATTGTGTCGTTTGAGCGATGCAATTCTGTGCAGGTAGTCAATCAATTGCTATGTTGTAGGATAGTGAGAGATGGTGACCGCTTGAGGAGGCCTTCATCCAACGGTGGATAGATCATGTCCGGTGATGATTAGAGTGTACCTGAAGCCTCTGTCTGCTCCGAAGGCTACAGAGGCGGTGTCGCTGTAAAATCGGATGTCGGGCATTTCGTCCATCGACAGGCCGTTCACCTGCGTTGACTTGTCTGTGGGTCCACTCTCCTCTGTGCCACAGAGAGGGACACAGGGGTTCACCACAAATGAAAGCCAGGTTGGCGATGCTCGTCGTGTGAGATGAATGAAGCTAAGAAAAACAACATCAATTTAAAACGTGTATCTCAAGACACTTTTAGAAAAAATGAAAGCAACGAAATTCGGGTTGAAGGTGGCTTTGGGGAGGGCAGGGAGTTGTGGGAGAGAAGAGAAGAGGGCACCACTGGCGGCACAGCCCGGATTGAAGCAACCGGACCCAGCACCCACAATAGGCCTTACGGGCAGCTGCGGCAGCAAGGGCAGCGCTGAGTGCCAGAGTATCCACAGGGGGCCGGAGGCATTCACCAGCTACATTAAATTTGCATGGAAAATGCAGGTGATGGAAGAATGAAATGTGCATAACATTGCATTTCATTCGTAGAAGGGTCAGCATGAAAAGTACTGCTCCTCCAAGGAAGGGGAACACACTGATGTAAATAATAATAATAATTGTTAGCGCTCTCTCAATCCACTGCTGGATGAATGCCACCCCACGCCATTGCCGGTCATGGGGATCATTCACCATACTTTACTACACTGGTTAGTGCAAGGTGATGAGATTGGGGAAAGGGGGAGTACAGTCCGGACCCAATTCAGATATTATTCGCCGCTGATCATAGCCATGGCCGGGAATCGAACTCAAGTCACCCAGTTCACAGTGCAGTCTGCTAACCACTGTGCCACTGCTCCACACTGAATATATCAGCATATATATTCAGTTCAATAGTGGATGGGGTGCCACGGTGGCGAGATGTTAACTACCTAGCCTGATATAAAGTATGTGGTGGGTTCGATCCCCAACCCTGAACCCTGTATATTTGGATTTTTGCATGTCGCATGAATTTTTCTCAGGGTCCTCCAGTTTTCTCTCCACATTTAGAAACATTAATTTAAGAGTACTTGGCTGCTAGAAATGTCCACGTGATAAGCCACTTGATTGAACTATTATTTGTGGTAAATTTGCTTTAAAAAAATAGCTACATAGTTCAGTGGGCCTTACCTGGTAAAAAAAGCACATTTTACGTCTTTATTTGGTGGATAATTTAATACTCTTTAATCAAGTATGTTATCACTCGCGTTCCTGCATGAGGAACTGAGCAAATATATCACGCTCAACAAACATGTCACGGTGAGACATTTTTATTTTTTAAGAAATTGCTTTCTTTTTGTCTTCGGTGATTTTCTGTAGTGAACTATTCACCTACTCGTGCGCACAACGGCGATATCGTTGTTATTTCAGATTACATGGGGGGGGGGGGGGGTAACGGTCACTTTTATCACCAAATAGAGGGGCAGGAAAATCTCCACACATCATACGACACTGCAGGAAAAGCTGACGTCCTGGGCAGAGGTAAAATGTGTACTCCTCGGCCACTGTCCACTTTAGAAACGTAACGAGTTGCCGTAAGTTTGGCTACTCTACCCAACCCACCACTGTGTGGTAATGGCTCTGTCGCCTTAGTAATCACCCAGAAACATCACTGGCATTTATCGGCACATAATCCAGGATGACATTAAGGCACATGGAGGGACCATGTCTCAGGAACATTATTAAATTACACTTCAAATTAATGGACTTGTCTACTCTTTTAACTGGACACTTTATAGAGTGTTATTAAAAATTATTGCTTTGTGTTTCACTGATTACAATTTTAAATACAAGTGGTAATGTATAACGTAGCACATAATAAAAAAAAATCATTACATTGTGAAATGTAGAGTATATCATTAAGTCGTTTGAATTCATAATCTTTAGTGTGTATTTTTGTTTTCATTGGCTCGTGTCTTCTCATCTCCACTCGTAATTAAGTTGCAGCATTTAGAGATACATTTGTATGTTGATGCTGTTTGATATGCGTGTATGTATGTACGTGTGCAAAGACATATCCCCAATATGGCCGAAATACACTGGTGGGGCAAATGCTGTTAGCGAGCACCTATGAAGGCTGGCGTAACCACATGAGGGGGTGGGTGGCCAGCACCATGCCTGGTCAGCACACCACATCCAGTATACCTCTCTCTGGCTGCGACTGTCAATCACGTGCCAATTCCCGGCCTATTCCAGTTTACCACGTGTTTCCACAGCTTGTTGAACAACCGAAAACGACCTGAACGGAAGCTCCCCGAGCACGTGGGGCGAAACGCCGGACACCGTGCTGAGCACGTCGGAGGGTGGCGGCGGGAGGAGTGTCGCGCACACCGTTGGCGCTCGTGAGGATCGGCACCGTGCCACGCCGCCCGCGCGCCCCTTTCCTCTCTCTCCTCTCGTCCTTGCCGCGGCGCTCCGTGGCGTGCAACGCCGTGGGCAGCACGCTGACCTTGCTGCCCGCCGGCGGCTGCGGGGAGTGGCACTCGGCCAAACCCCCGTCCTCGTCGTCCTCCTCGGCCTCATCCTCACCCACCACCGTGGTGGGGCTTGTCTTGCTCTGAGACGCTTTCCTGTGCCACCCGCACGCACGCACGCGCGCAACCCGAATTCGTTACGCGTTTGCACACTCGGGAGAGGGCGATGCCGTGGAGGGTTGCGAAAGGATGTCACATGCCGTAAAGGGCACATTGCCTTGATTTCCAACAAAAAAAACAAACGTTTATCTCTTTGCGTGAGAAAATATTGCTGAGTTTGTCTGTTGGAGTCCTGGTTATTTTCAGCCTGTACGCTGATGTGGGAATCGTATTGTATGCTTTGATGGTGAACTGATACTAACTCAATCTTGATTTGAAGCTTTCGTGACTGCAGGAATCCGTACTCTTTGGTTCTTTCGGTAAAGTCACGTAGGTAGAAAATAAAATAAATCACGACGTTTCGATCGCAACACAAGCGGTCGTCCTCGGGCGGAAAAAATATAATCCAGCAGTGAAACTGCTGAACGGTTCAGCAGTTCCACTGCTGGATTATATATTTTATATTTTTTCCGCCAGTGGAACTGCTGGATTATATTTTTTCTGCCTGAAGACGACCGCTTGTGTTGCGATCGAAACGTCGTGATTTATTTTATTTTATACCTAAGTGGCTTTACCGAAAGAACCAAAGAGTATTGATACTAACTCTCTGTGTACAATGCATTAATCAGCAGCAGCTGTGACAAATCCACTGCTGGATGAAGGCATCTCCAAAACCGTCGAGATACAGTCCTGCAATTATCCATCGAGTCCCTGCACACAAACTGATTGCATGACTTCATTTCCATGGTCGACGTCCCCTCAGCGATGATTAATCTTTGGCTGCCACTTGCCCATAAACTCTCGGCCACTGTGGCCATTCACCATTCCTTCTCGTTATGCACAAGGCGTTATATATGAATAACCTTTTGCAAATGATAACGTAACTATGGTAATGTTGTCTGAGTAAAGCCTGACGCGACCTACATGGTTCTCTTCTTCTGCTTCTTGCGTGTGGTCTCCGACGCAGGCACGGGCTGGGAACCTGCAATGTGAAGTCACCCGTGAGCTCAACCGGTGCACATGTGCACAGGTTTACAACGGCCACTTGATATATTAAATTGGACTGGCAAATTGGCCCAGGAATAACTCAAAATTAACAACAATTTAAATGATCTGGGCGTGAGGAATAGTCGACAGAGAAATCAGTAACAGGATGCAGAAACATTTACAATTGTTTAAGGGGCTGGAGTGTAATAGGTGGCAATGAAGTGCAAAAGGCAGAGAAATTAGAAAAAAGGAGAGACGCAGCATATTGCCCAATCATGCAGCAGTAGGATACACAGTACCCATCATAACGAGCTAAACACATTCCTCATCGTAGCTAGAGTATAAGAACATGTTATACGGTATTTCAGTTCCCTGATTAAACAGAAATACCCCGGTTTGCATCGGGGATGCGTTTCTCAAAGGTGCGGCGACGACTATCGAAGGGACGTAAATCAAAGCAATGTACAGGGTTGATGGAGGCGAAGGCTGAGAGGTGAGGGACACGAGCAAGGACGGACGGATGCTGTCAGCGACGTAAGTGTGGGCTTGAGGCGACGCAAATCAGGCCGTGGTTATTAATAACGTGACGAGGTATTTTGCGAGCATGGGGTGGGGGGGTGGAGATGTGTAAGCCGGGGTATTACTACGTGAATACATCCAAGATTCACATTCATTTTGGCACAGCGTACCTCCATTTTGGGTGCGAGCTCGCTTGGCTTTTTTGGCTTTTCCCAGCCCTGGCACCTCAGCCCCCGCTCGCTCTGCGCTCTCCGCTTGGCTCCACTCGGGTGCCACCGACAACCCTCATCCAGGGGAAACCAACAACAAACTGACGCAGCGTCCCGGCTACACGCGCTCACTGGGGATGCCAGCTGTCCTGGTTGTCCCAGAATTGCCTCCCCCCCCCTTTTTGTATCTAGCTCTCTTGGGAAATTTGTTAATCTTTCCCAAGACATTAAAAGTAGTGGGTTTTTTTTGTCGGTTGTGTAATTACAATAATATGCCACTCAGGACAATGCAGTTATATGTACTGCTGTCTTGCAGTATTGTGAAATATTCTTACCCATGATGTGTCCCGGTATTTTGTACCTCAGAGGTCAATGTCAACCGTAACACCAGCACAATGTAAAACAAATAAGTCGTGCCTACAGGTACGGGAATACATTGGTACTTAATGTGCGCTTACAAAATCCTCAAAACCACGCCTTTAGATGGTAATTTTCCTTCGATGTATACCTATGATTTACAAACAAATCCAGTTGTTTTCTAAATCACGCGGTGGCTTCGTTCAACACGTGCGGTAGTTTTTGAGCCTGTTACTTTTTATTTATTTTTCTAACGGCTCCAAGTCTGTGCCTGTTGGATTCTTGCTTCAACAGACTCTGGCCTATAATGCTCACCCATCTGCAAACACACTGTGTGGTTATAGTCTCACCAGAGCCATTGACAAGTTTCCGCTTTTTATGCTTTGGCTTGGCCTGTGAGCCCTGGTCCATATCACCTTGGAGAAGGGTAAAGAGATGAATGCAACGGCAGTCAGCGTGATTACAGAAGTGGCTCGTCAATTAGACGGCGATTATATTTCGACGTCGAAAAGATTAGCAGAACAATGTTTTTACTGGTAGGAACTTAGTTGTAAACTAAGTGTACCAGCCTGCAATAGATTAATGTGTCCGTCCGTCCGTCCCCTTTCTATACTTTAACGAAGTGAAATCTCGTGCTGTTGGGTGTAAAATCAGCAATAGACAGCGCAGAGACTTGAAAAATTCCAATGTTCCTACCAGCCCACCCTGCAGGGACCTGTTAAAAATGTTTCTGTAGTAATTTGATATACTGTCGTTAAATACGAGTTGTATTCTCCTAAAATGTAAACGTTAGGTGTATGTACCATTGGTGTTGTCTGCTTGGCTGGAAAAATAGAGACAATGCATTAGCATTAATATGTTATTTATACTGTTAATCTCTGATAAATACAGACTTTGGTATAGATGTGTAATTTCCCAAATAGCCTCATATGTAGTGCAATTATTCTAAGGCAAGCACATGCTGATTAGATGTAGTATACATTGTAAACATTAAACACGAAGGTATGTTTGTTATACCATATTAGTTAAACGATGTTCATGACTTACCAAGGAACCTGTTCAGATATTTGCTGTAAATCACAAAATGGCCACACGTCATTCACGTAAATAAACAGCACGCTATGCAATACATTAGAAACGGGTATGAATATCACACCACATTTTTACTCATCAGTTATATGACTGATTTAAGAGGTGATGTCAAATTTTAGAAGTAATCTATCCAAGATGAATCGCACCTCGGTCTGGCTGGTCATTCTTCAAGCAGTGACTTGACAGCATAATGAAGCGATGAACGCAGCTCTGCCTGACTTGAAGTTATCCCTGATCCTCCCTTGCTAAACCTCCACATAATCCCACTCAATCCTGGGTCAGCACTGCACAGTTGTATGTCATTATTAGATTGACCAATCACCATTGTTCAGATATGAACATATTATACATGTGAACATTGTATAGCCTCGTAGCGTCAAAGGGCGTTGGAGGGTACCGAGACCCCCGGCTGAAGGTTCAAACCCCTTTTCAGCGTTTAATGTTTGATATGCTCCCCTTTATCCCCTTTGACAAAGTCCCACTACAGTGCGGGGTGTAATTACAACACGGTATTCAGCATTGAACATTTTATTAAATAAAACACCCCAAAATTGCGTGGCATTTTTCAAAAGTAACATCCCATCATCATCATGAACAACGGTCAATCCACCGCTGGATGAAGGCCTCCCCAAGCTACTGCCATCTCTCATTCTCCTGCAATGCTTTATATATTAACCATGAAACCCATGATGCACTATTTTAAATTGTAACAATGCAAGTCTGGCTTTTACATGTGTTAGATTGACAAATATATTTTCTCTCTCCATTTATTTGCATTTTAAAACGGGTGTAGAGTGGTGACTGGACAGCTGTAAGATAACAACAAGTACACGTGTTGTTACATCCCTGATGCTCGTGGTAATGTCATTTCATTGTCCAGGTATGCCTCTCTGAGTCACACGGTCCTGCTGCACTGGCGATGTTGTGCCATTCTCTTTTTAACGGATATTTGTATGCAGCAAGAAATATAATTACACAAAGAAATGAGGATAACACACAAAAGGTCCACGCAGATGGGTTCACAAATCCACTTGTGGTATATTGCCATCACGTTACATTTCTAGTGCATGCAGAGGCTAATATGGCAGGTATTTGGATTATCATTGCATTCTCATTGGAAGTGTACGATTGTGTTTCTCGCGCTTGTGAGACTGGTGTGTTTGTAATTTTATTTATTTATTGTGTGGAGAAACAGATGTATGAAGGAGACGTATTATCATCTTATCTATTGTGCATGCATAAACAATTGACGTGACATTTCCAAAAGCTGAAACCAGCAGACAGACTACTCAAGCTGGGTTTTAATGACTGTACTGTATTGCCAAAGCAGTTGCCAGAGACAAAACATTATGTAATAGCGCCCTCTGTTGAGCTAACATTGGTTTCAAACGACACAATCCAAAGTGTGTGCACTATGTAACACATTACTGCGGAGGGAGCTGGTAGGAACGTTGGGTTGCTCGGTCAATGGCCAGGGTCAACAACGGCGGCACTACCACGTGGTGTATTCCGCAAATATGCCCGACTGTGAGGGCGGGCACAAGCCGGCGTGAGTAGGTTAAACGTTGAGTTTTACAAGGGCACCACGGGGTGACCAGCCACTCCCCACCCAGCCCCACCCCTTCCACCCCCCACCCAGCCCCACCCTCCCCACCCTCCCCTCTCCACCCAGCCCCACCCCTCCCATTTTTGGATGCACGACGGACGGACACAATAATCCCCTTGTGGGCTGGTGGTGTAACCAGGAGGTTCCTACCAGTAAAAAGTATTCAATATTCTTGAAGACGTGTATTGTGGTGCTTTTGCCTTAGGTCACAATGAAATGCATTTGAGCAAACTGACAGATAGTGATTCAAAAATGGACAACAGTACTGTAGATCGGTTTCGTTTTTATTAAGACTTATCAGTGCAGTAAAATCATCGTGAGTGTAGTATAGTTTGATACTAACTAGACGTTTAACAATTCAATCCTTTCACTATTAATTGATTTCCACGATTCTCTTTTGTTATCATGATTAAAGTCACAAATGTATTGCTACTGCTGTAAACGTATAGTGGCTGCAAGGGTTTCACGAACCGATGAAAAATTAATGAAATTCAAATCTCAAAGCAGTTTGAGCGAAACGTCTTCATATGTTGGTGTTAAATTCAGTGATAGTTTTTTTGGTAAAGCCACTGGTGAACTTTATGGGTCACATCTCCATCAATGAACTCCTCCGGCAGGCCACCGCATGTCCAAGCAGCTTCTGTTTGACCGGAGAGAGGGGGCTGAAGAGGACATGGAGCTGATGCGGTACGGGAGGATGTGGAACTGAGTGGCCTTGCTGATGACCGATAACAGCGGTGTCAAAATCGACCTCTGCCGAGGAAATTCGTGAAGGACGCTGCTGGGCAGCTGGAGGCAGTCGCCCTCCAGCAACAACGGAGGAGCGACGCTCACAACAACGAGCGGAGCGCCGGGCGGGAGCACTGGCGGCGCATTTACGAGTAATTTCAGTAAGTCTGTCCCCGTGATTTCCTGCCAGCGAGCCTTCGACACTTCACGTAACCTCAAAGTGCACATAGCCTGGCACAAGCGCCACCTAGTGGCGAATGGCGGCGGCTGTTGTTGGGGGGTGGGGTGGGTCTACGTGAGTGGGCGGGGCCCTACGCGTTAGTGGGCGGAGGCCTACGCGAGAGTGGGCGGAGCCCTACACGAGAGCGGGCGGAGTCCTACGCGGGAGTGAGCCGGGGGCCGATGCGAGAGTTGACGGGGTCTGTGCAGGGATGGGCGGGGCGTGTTTGAGAGTGGGCGTGGGGGGGCGTGTTTGAGAGTGGGCGTGGGGGGCGTGTTTGAGAGTGGGCGTGGGGGAGGCGTGTTTGAGAGTGGGCGTGGTCGCCGGGCTGGTGGGCGCGGCTTAGTTATTGGCGCGGTGGTAAACGAGGGCCACGTGTTCGCTTCGCCGGGCGCGGCAAAGTCTCAAGCGCATGGAATGTAGCACACGGCGGAGCTTCCGCGTTCGCAAATCAACGCCCCACGCCACCTCCTCCTGGCGTCACCCACGCCCGGCTGTCGCAACAGTCGCTTTACATGCCACCACCTCCATCATCATCATCAGCCGCGGCCACGTTGACAGCGGCGGGAAGCGGCGAGGGCAGGCCATGGCAGCCACCTGGGCAGCCGGTGCCCTGTTGGGTATGGACCCAGCGAAGAAGGCAGCCGCCCTAGTCGTGGTGCTGCTGGTGTGCCTGCACGGGGCTCGGCGCGTGTCTCGCGGAGGTGGGTGAGCGAGAACCCTGTCTCCCGGGCGCACGGTGGCTGAAGTTGTCATCCTGGGGTCGATAGACTTCAGCCCATCCCGCAAAAGCAAGACGTCTTGCAGCTCTGGCTTAGTTGTGAGCTCTCATCTATTGCCTTCATTTCTGCATATTTATTCAAATTTGGAATTCACAGTTCGTAACTTGCACGTTTGTATGAACACAAATATCGCGTGCTCATTTATTCCAGGTGTCCTCTTGTTAGAGATTTGTCTTAAGTGGGCTGTCATTAGTTTGTACAAATTCAGTTCTGTTCACGTATACTGTACCCTAACACTTCGATCCAGTAACCACACACAGTGGCATGTAAGCACACGTGAAGTATGGTTAAGGAACTTCCCTGGATCAAGGGAGAGCCCTTCACCCAGTAGTAGATCGATCAAGTTTCGTAAAAATTTATAACATTTAATATTAACATTAATTTGAGGTACACGTTCGAGACGGTCCCACCTAGTGCACATGCCGACATTGCTCCAAAATAATCTGACATGCAGATTATTTTCTGTTTCCCAAGGACAATGTATTAATTCGTGAGTACGGTACTGTAATAAAACATAAATATTCCGAGCGTCTCTCACCTTTGCTGCCTTTGTAGGCACAAAGCCGTATTGACGCAAAGACTAAATCACAGGTTAACATTTGACCAAAAAAACCCCATGTCAGCGTCTATTCATCATACCTGTAATACCTGTTCCCTTCCTGGTCGAGTCCTCTGGCATGCTGCTTTGTTCTCTTCCACTCCAGGGCATGCAGGGGGAGAAGGCGGTAAAGTCACTCCGAGTCGTGGCAAGCTTTCTACGCACGGGCATTTTACAGGAGAAATTCCCCTCTTGTCTGCGGGTGTTGTGCTGAGCGAATTTCGCCGATCCCATTATCCGCAAAACCATTCCACGTATCCGCTGGTAAAACAAAACAAACAAAAAAGTTTGCGGATAATAGGAAGGGACAGGAGTTTTGATGATGGGCGTTTGCTGCGGGACCATACAGCATCCACGGATAATAAAGTCGCGGGGGAAATAGGGTCGCGGATAAAGAGGAGCTACGGTGTGTTTGCCGAATTAATTTCTCAACTTTTCTTCTTCTTCTTCCTGCTGCTGCTTTACAAATGCCCAGGGAGCAGCAGCTGTGAGAGTCTGTTCAGCAGCGGGCGTCACCTGAGCAACGGGATGTGGCAACCCGAGGGGTGCATGGTGCATCACTACACGCAGAGGTACACGGAGCAGCGTGTCACGTCGAGAAGCTGAGCCCAGGCGGATCTACGTCAGTGTCAGTTCGGTGCCATTTCCAAAAGTGTTTTGTGCATTTCGTAAATAACTGCAACGTACGGTCCCTTTGTCGATGCACGGCTGGAAGAAGGCATTCCCACTTCATGTCGGTCATAGCGGGTTGTCTGACCGTACTTCACCATGCTGGTCAGTTGGTGGTGTCAGCCATAGCCAGGGATCAAACTCGGGTCTCCACCTTCGTAGCGCAACGCACTCAGCATTTGTCTTCCGATGTAATCAGTCGGCACACTAAATGGGTGTATTTGCAAAAAAAAAAATGCTAGGCTGCATAAACAAAAACAAATTCCCAAAAGTTGGCTCAAACGTTCACTGTTTAAATCCCTGAGACCGATAGATGTGTGTATGTATGCATGCCTGTGTCCACATTTGTGGGGAGTGGTAGTGAAGAAGTTAGCGCACTTCGCTGTGAAACCGGTGACCCTAATTATATACCTGCTCATGGCCAACAGCAGTGACGATTATATGAACCGGTAATAGGCCTCCCCTGGGCTGACTTTGCTTCATACGAGTACCTGGTGTGTCGAAGGCGACTTGAGCGTGGTGCTGGCCACCCACCTGCTCGTGTGCCTCCCCGCTGTTTGTGTGTGCTCGCTGACGGCGCTTGCTGATCCGTCTTTGTTTTGTACACATCTGTACGTATGTGGCAGGGAGGTCAAGGAGTGTCTCGAGGAGAAGTATGTCGTTTTTATGGGCGACTCGCGAATCCGCATGCTGTATCAAAGCTACCTCCAATTCCTGACGCCCACACCTCCAAACGGGGCCAAGGTACAGAGATAACTTGTGACCTTGACGCCACCCACTTGGCTTCCCGTACTGTTTAACGGTTTTATTATTTTAGTTTGTATATGATTCACAGACTGCCGTTGTCCTTGGCTATACGTATATATATTTTTTTATAGTTCAGTGATCAATATAATGATTGTCATCTGTAAGCTATCTGCAGTGATACGTTTGTATGATGTGCATGAAATAAAACATGGAGTTGAATGAATCACCGGTACGGTCATAAATATCTCGGGAAATTTACAGTAGTTCTTACGTTGGTTTAAGCAACTTTTTGTGAAAATGTTTGTTGTATTCCTGTTTTTTCGAAATTAGTACAGTGTGTAAACAATATGAATATATAGCATGGTAATCGATTGTAAGTTGAAATTAATGTTTAGTTTAGTTCTAAAAAAAATGCTTTTTTTGTTTATTGCAGTGGCAAGATATTCAATACCGTGAAAGTAACCCATTTATTAAAGTGGTGAGTTGAAAATTGTTCTATGTAAGCCTTTTCCTTGCAGTACAATGGTTTTTACGCATTATTTGAAGAATGTTATGTACACGTGTTAATTTTTACATGTTCACACACTGTGTGTAAAATATGACTTTGGTTTTCCGGAATATTTTTTTCTGACTCCTCCAGGATTTTTTTTGGGCTCCAGATGTCGGTGAATCCATGACAAAGCACTTTGCTTCTTGGAAGATGGCAAGTGGCACTTAACAACACATAACAACATCTTGTGAAAAAAATCATTTACTCCAGCTATTAATGAATGGGGAGCACTTGTAGCTAAGATCCCTGTGCCAACATAAACCATCGTGTTTGTAGCGCTGCTGCAGAAACACCCTTACTATAATTTCAAACGTATTGGTTTGTAATAAATTAAATCATATTAATTTTACAGACCTTTGTCAATCCACTGATGGAAGGCCTCTACATCTCCTTTTTGGCCACGAGGGTTGTTTGACCTACTTGAACACGCTGGTTAATGCAGTCGGTGAAACAGGTGGGTGGTGGGGGAGCATCTCCCAACATCAGTTCATATATCACTTGCCACTCATCCTCAATCTACTGCTTAGTGAAGTACTCCCCATGCCATGGCAATAGTTGGGGGCATACTTAACTATGCATGTCAGTTCAGGTTGTCGGGTGCCAAGGGTCTATTTAGATACCACTAATGTTTGCCGTGGCCAGGAATCGGACTCAGGTCACCGGCTTCAAAACACGGTGGACTAACCACTGCCCCACCTCTGATTAGCACTATTCACTACGTACAGTGCGAAATAAGTTCATCATGCAGCATCATAGTTTGACTTTTTTTTTCCACCTTAGCAAAATTACGTAGCTAACATTAACAGTGGCAGACAACAGTTTATTTGACAGCAACAGGTTGGGATTGCTTTTCAGATAAGAGTAACTGCTTTAGGGGATGAATAATTCACGGCTGCCAATTTGTACTAACGTCACCATTATAACCTGAAAATATAGCATAATGGATAAATAAATTACATTTCGGCAGAGACTGCATGGACGGAAATAATGTTTGTAAGCTGCGTTGTTAATTTTGAGTTTGTGTTTCGGTTTCAAGGGTTGGGCGTTTTAAACGTGTTTTTTTCCGTGTCGAGAAACCGTTGTGCTAATCAAACACTGGGATTTCTGCTCCGTTTACTCTGCAACTGAAGTCTTGCTCTTGTGAAGTTCATCTTGCTCGTCCTTGTGGCCTGATTTTTTTAGCTTCATCGCTGTAAGGGAGTAACGATGCATCAGTTGATCGATTAAAATAAACTTTTTAGTGTGCGAGATGTGCAGCGATTGACGTGTGTGAGAAGCAATATTTTTAGATTTGTGTGTTATTTTTGGAAAATTTTAAATCTCGGGAGGAAATGATAAACATTATGGTTGGAACAATGAGGCAGAGGGTGAGCGCCCTGCTCACCACTGAGCTGCTAGGCTATATTTCATGGGCATCTTGTGATGGTGGTTTATGAACCCAGAGGCTTACATTTGAATCCAGGTTATGGCTAACATCAGTGGCGAGTCATATCTGGACCTGGGTACCCCCGTCACCAACTCAAACTGACCAGAACTTCGACTAAAACATCCGGCGTGACCGAGAGGCGAGGAGAGACCTTCATCCAGCAGTGGATTGATAAATGGCTTTATACTATATTGCATTCTTGGCATTTAATACGTTTCCGTGATCCTCTCAAACAACTATAGGCTGATACACTTACCACGAGTGTAAATGTAATATTCATATTTCGCACAAGAAGGGCTCACAAGTGACGTCTTCACAACTATCCCTCTATTTAAGGAACGAAACAGGAGGATTTCTCCACAAATCTGGCCGTCGCCTGATGAAGCTAGATGTAATTACTGGGCAAACGTTGTACTCAGATTGTAAATGTTGTGGATTTGCTCTTCAACACACCAGTGTGCTGTACTAGTAACGAATTGGAATTTTCTGTTTGTGACAAATCTTACTAATTGGCTGTGTCGGGTGGTGGCGGGTTTAACGACACATTCATATTTACGCGATCTAACCCAAATAACCTATATTATGGATGATATTGGTCGTGAATGCCTACGTGTTAAACTGATCAAATCCCGACTGTCGATTGGATCACAAGTGGCGGTGGTGAATCGTGACGCCCCTGGTCACCATGAGAAACGATGAGACATATTCAACGTTACAAATAGTGCATGACGGTCAGTGCAGCCGATATGAACACAGACCCACCCATTGTGCCTAAATTAGACCAGAAACGATTGCAAATATGATCCTCTTACAGTTACTTGGCTGTTGCAGCATGACGTAGTTTCGTGGCCTACCAGACAAATGATGTACGGATAAGCATGCAGTACAAACAGTAACAACATGTCTGGGTGTGTGCCGTATTAAAAATAAAAAAATTACACGCTCTTTAGCGAATAAAATTGTAACATGTTCGTTCGTCAATGACACTGCTCTAAATCTAAAAAAATATATAATAGGCAACGCTTCAGGCAATGATCTTGCTTCATAGCAGAATGCGATTGCAAATGTCACCTATTATGGGGTTTTTTTGCTCGAGCATTGTTATTGCCGAATGTGAATTTTTGTTATTCGTGTTTATGGACTTAAAAGTCATTGGAGTGTGTAAAAAAAAGTTGTATTTTTCATTAATACTTGGCGTACTAGCATTGCAGCTTCCATGCGAAATTATCTGCACAAAACATTCTGGTATTTCAGGTTCAGCTTAGCGCTTACGTGGATGACTTAAATACATAAACGTTGTTTAAGTACCTTAGGGGCATTGGCTTTTTTAACTCTAACCATATGTGGGATGGTTGTGGTGAACCTAGAAAAATAATCTCATTCAGCTGGTCGTATTAATCTTCGTACTCAGAAATGTTCTGTCCACTGTCTACCTGGTTCCGTGTGTTTGTTATCTCTCACCTGTACACGAGCTGACTACATCGCTCCATCTGCGGTTTCCTCCTTTGGCTGCCGCTCCGTTTCATTATTTATAGCCATGTGCAGTGGTTACTCCCTGGAATTTAATTTATTATGATGCATTTTCGGAAGGGTATAATAGTGAGCGTTGTACTTTCACTGCTAGGATGTGCCATGCTTATGAAGACAGTTATGAACAATATCAAGCAATTATAAACTACAGTTTGTAATTTTATTTTTCTCGCAAATTATCTACGTTTTCCTACCCCTTTTTGTGCTCACAGCCGAATGAGATTACGCCCGATGTCATCGTTATGGGTGCTGCCACGGTAAGCGTTAATATCTTCCACGAATTTAAATGTGTGATGTACTGGAAAAAAGTCTTGGATCTAAATAGACACAGGGGATTTAATATTGCAGCATATATAAGGGTTAATTGCAAGATTTTTTTGGTACCAAAATTGTCTGGGCATTGCATTGGATGAAACTAAACCATTTTTAACCCAGAAGTCATGTAGTTATCAAGCGTGCAGGCGGTGAGACTGCAACAGATCCACAGGCCAAGAGAGTTCCCAGGTGCCACACTAGGAAATGGGTTGGGGGAGACATTGGCCAAGGGCGGTGGCCCCATTTGATTCCTTGCACCAGAGCCCATACCAACCACGCTCGGCCACTGCAAGCCGTCCAATTGATAACTGAATTTTGAGCATCGCTGAGTTACATTGTATGGAGCACCGCAATGAAGTCAAACTGTGGATACATAAGATGGATCTTCAAAACAAGTGTTGTATTTTCACTTGTGTTTTTTTTGTGCCTCCGCAACAGTGGGCCATTAAGCTGACGGGGGATAAGGAGGAGGGCTTGGTGCTGTATCAACGGGAGCTGAGGCAGCTGAAATCGCACATGATCAACGTCACCCGAGTGTCACACAAGCACAGGGATGTCATCTGGGTCCTGCAGGGTTGGTACAGACTGGGTTTTATGGGTGTGTGTGCTTGCTGAGTTATTTTATCATAAAGGAATGCATTCAACAAGGTACACCATAGGATTTTGTTTGACTATAGTTCACCGCACTGGTAAGGGCATGCGGTTTCTTGAAGGCAGAGAGGCCCAGGACCAGTTCTGATAACACTCACCACGCATGACACTTTATGGGCAACCCTTTGTTCACCAGTGGATTCACAATGGGCTGTAAGGTAGGTCGTAAATCCAGGACACCACAGAGGTTCCTAGAGGCCCAGAGCTGGAGGCCTGGGGCAAAATTCCACATGGGGTCCCGTTTTTCATGTGCGACAAAAGATAGGCGTGACATGGGGCCCTTGTGTGTGAGGCCTGGGGAAAATTGGCCAATTTACTCCCCCCCCACCTCTGCGCATCCCAAGATTAACCTTAAGTGTGATACAAACAATTGGGTCAGAGGAGAGGATAAACATAAAATTTTGATTTAAAGCTTTCGTCACTGCAGTAATTCATATTCTTAGCTCTTTCGGTAAAGTCACGTTGAAGGGAAACAATAAAATAATAAAATATATATAAAACAATAAAAATTCTCACGACGTTTCGACCATAACACAAACGGTCATCACGTTGAAGGGAAACAATAAAATAACAATAAAATAATAAAACGTGAGAATTTTTATTGTTTTATATATATTTTATTATTTTATTGTTTCCCTTCAACGTGACTTTACCGAAAGATCTAAGAATAGGATAAACATTGTTATTTGTGGAATTTTTTTCTTTATTTCACTCTTTGACATCTACTTTGCAGCAGATGGTGCATTTTGGTAATTAGACACAATTTCGGGGCAGCGTTCAGAATAAAATAGCTGACTCAGGGAAACGCCAGTCAAGGGTCTAACTAGGGTGGGCAAATTTTTTGACTCGCGGGCCACAATGGGTTCTAAAATTTGACAGAGGGGCCGGGCCAGGAACAGATGGATGGAGCGTTTGTGTGAACTAATATAAATGACATGTAAAAATCATTACATGAAAGGATTTGGCCTTTAACAGGTAGCAAAGCATTTATTTGCAAGGCAATTTAACAAATTGCACGAACATGAACAATACAAAAACATGTCCTAACTCCGGTCAAAGTGCGCCATCTAATGGGGAAATGGGGGTATTACAGGAGAAAGGTAAAAATTTATTTAATAATAATAATAATATTTGGACAAGTTCAGCGGGCCGAATTAAAAAGCCCAATGGGCCGTGTACGGCCCGGGGGCTGTACTTTGCCCATGTCTGGTCTAACTGCTGCTCCCTCTGTCCTGCTTTTCTTGTCTGCAAAGACCCGGTCGATGAGGCCAAGCTGCACTCGAGTAGGAAGCTCATCACCAATCGTGCCGTGGATAAATACAACGATGTGACCATGAGTGTGCTTGAGGGCAGCCCCGTGCGGATCATGAAGGCCTCCAGGCAGGTGGCGCAGCACTACTTGCACCTCTCGGAAGATGGGCTGCACGTTCCTGACGCTGCACGCGGCATCGTGAGTAACCACCCTTCGATGCGTCATTGTCATATTAAGTGTATTATCATTATTATAATGCATATTTGGCCTACTCTTCCATCTTGGAAAAGGTGGAAGTACCGAAACTTTACCCTATCACACATGACATGCAACAGACAATATCTTTCTTTTCAAAGTTAGTAAAATTCAGTAAAATTGCATAGGATGAGTGATCTGAAAGCCTTGCTAGGCTTTGCCCCTCCACAACTCGATCAATTTTACTTTAGGTGAAGTACGCCACTGTGTCAGCCAGGCAGCACTACTGCTCATTGCGATTCATCATCATCGTCAGCCATGATCATAGTACTGCTGGATGAAGGCCTTCTCAAACCATCGCCATCCCTTACAATCCTGCAATGTAACAATCCACCAGGCACCTGCTTACGAGCTCATTTCACCGCTCTGTCCCTCCAGTGCACGTCATCCCAGTTGTATTCCCTCCTTTGGCTGCTACTCTATTTTTCGTCTTCACTACCAGCCATCATCTTTTCTAGTGTGCATGCCCCTTCCAAGCACACTTACACTTATTGCTGTTATTGTGAAAATCATTTGTCAGAGGGTTTTTTTTTAAATATTTATATACCTAGGCCAGTGTCCATAGGTTGTAGACAGCTCGTCATTCATAGCAAATCACAACCTTGGTTCCTTCTGGTCAAAACGAGCCTTTGACTCTGTAAAAAAAACCAAAAAGGACTCGCACGGGCCAACCTTGCTGCCGTTGTTGACCGCCGAAAGGTGTCGTCGCTCATCCTCAACTCGCACTGCAACCGCGACGTGCGCCCGCTCGACGGCTCGTGCTGCTCCGTTCCGCGCGACCCCACGCTGATCCAGGCCATCACTGCCCTCTGCTTCCTGGGCTTCGCGGTCGCCTGGGCGGCCACGTGCGTGCGCCGAGCCTCTACGCCTCCACCACCGCCACCTCCGCAGGAAGATGTGGAGACTGCTTTGGTCGCCGATACTCCGCCCGTCATAGAGAAGGTACCCGGCCCTGGACGCGTTTGTTTGATGGATGTGTTTCGGTGATGCTAATGTGGGTCACGTGAAAGATTTCAAAGTGGGTTCCCACCTTTGGGGCCATATGCGGTAGGACGGCCAGTGTAGTAGTGCTGAAAAAAAAAACACTTTTTGACGCTCACCTCTAAAGTTACCAAATGTTTTCATTTGGGCGGGATAGTCTTGGTTTCAAGAAGATTTCACCTGTGTACTGAAACATTTGCGACAATCTGACAGTTTTGTTTACGATTAAACTTTGTTTGGCATATTGCCCAGCTCGTGATATAAGCAAAGGGCGGAACTGCTTGAGAAGTCGGCAAGGTTGACGGGAGGAGTAGGTGGGGTCTCACAGCAGGAGGCAGGGTAAATGTCAGGAAAAGAATAGCTGTTTACTGTGTGGGTGGGCGTGAGTGGAGCTGGTCGAACGAGGGGCCGCCATCTCATTGTGAATCTTGAGGCTCCCATTATAAACTTTTGCTACAGACAGTATCTTTTTCTAAATCTCCAACAGCTTATGACACATAAAGGTCATTCTTAATTTTATGAATTAGTTAGCTGCGCATGGTTTATGCATGCCGGCAATCCAGCGCTTTTGAGGCAAGGGTTAGTTGATCATGCAGATTTATACAACTCCCAAACTTGCTGGGTTTCGAGATCGTCAGGAGAGGGCAGTTAAACGAATGAATTTGAACTCTTTTTTTGCAAACTCTAGCTTCCTCACACATGTAAGTGTCCTTTCAATGGAATTGGATAAACATGTTAATACAGAAATAGAGCCTTGAAACTCGGTAAAGATTTATCGCATTAAATATATTGTGAGCTGTAATTACATCATGGCAGTTTATTTGGATGTATTTAGTCAAGACATATATCTTTGCCATTATAACTGCTTTGGTACACACATCTCTAATTGTCAAATGTATTTGTCCCCCACCTCAATGTCATCTTGCTGTCACAGCTGGAAGCCAGCCATACTGTTACAAGAGGGACGGCCGAGGAAGTACTGGCCTCACTCACTAAGCTGGGCTTCATCATGGCCTACTTCTACCTGTGTGACCGCGCAAACTGGTTCTACAAAGAGCACAAGGACTACCATCACTCGCTCTTCTTTGTGCCGCTTGCTGTGATCCTGGTCCTCGGCTGGTACTTCAGCAAGGAAACTAAAGATGTAAATAACGTCCTTCTTGCAATGCAATATCATATACTTACAATGCAATATGGAATTACTTAGCTTGTCAATGCAACTGCATCAAAATCATTGGGCGAATTTATTTCATATAGCGGGACAGGCATTCATAGGCAGTGGAAAAAGGGGGGAAGATCTTTATCCTGGACTTAAACAGGGGAAGGGAGTTCAAGACAATGGGAGCAGCAGCAGATAATGAGAGACCTGCTACTGGGCCTTGTTTGCTGGACTGGAGTGTGCGTGGAGGGCAGTAAGAGTGGAATGACAGGGGAGAGATAGGTATAGGTGAGTCCATGGGAGATCGTGAAGACGGTGAGTATGACCTTGAAATTGATCTGAGATTGGATTGCGGGGCCAGCAGAGTGATTGGAGGACCGGGGTGTGATGTCTTGTTATTGACGTACATACTTGTTTTCAATTCGACGCTTATTGCGTAATGCCGTGTGCCCTTGCTTTGCTTGCACCCTGCAGACAGTGATGTTAAACCGCGACCAGACAGAGGAGTGGAAGGGCTGGATGCAGCTCATCATCCTCATTTACCACTTTTCGGGCGCCAGCTCGGTGAGAGGGCTGAGCCACGCTGACGCGCTGGGTGAAGGGCAGCGTACACTACAGCTCAATGCCGCTCGCCACCGCCGACTTATTGCGGTCGAATGTGTAGACAAAACAGACATTTTAATCTGTGAGAATAGTAAAACAGCTAATTGTGGGAAAAGCCCGACATTTAAACAGTGAATCGCGCGTAATAATGTTTGTAATGTTTCACATAGAAAACATTAATATAACAGACACTAGATGCAACTGATGTGTCTTTGCGTTTGTATGCTTATGTGTTTGTTGTGGAAAACATTTGAAGATCATTGAGGAACGTCTAACTTAAGAGAGTAAAGAAAATCTGCTAACGTAACTTAAGACTGCATTGCTCTATAAAACGGACTCGTACTGCTGTGAAGGGGTCATGCTGTATGGCTCTCAGATGTGTTCTTGGGTCCTCCTGCCTGTTGTTGAGCACGGTGTCCGACGTTTCCCCTCCACGTGCTGGGTGCCTGAACAATTCGCTTCCTCAACTGGAGTCATGTTTTCTGGACATTTTAATGAACAAAGTTTGTCGCGACTGCGTGGTTCAATGAGCACCCTCTGTCGCTCTAGTTCCTGCCAGTATACCTGCACGTGCGGCTTCTCGTCGCTGCCTACCTCTTCCAGACGGGCTACGGACACTTCTCTTTCTTTTGGACCAAGGGAGACTTTGGCCTCTTCCGCGTCTGTCAGGTATGGTTTCAGGCCTCAAGCCACAATGCCTTCACTCGTCATTAGAGAGCCCAGCACAATGTTGCATATCCAGCGGTCACATGTCGGCCCAAACCAAATGACCCACCCCACAGCCAGTGCAATATTTGTGCTTGGTGTAACTTTCATTGTCCATATATATTGGCAAATTTGACCATTGCATATACAATAACATGTTCTGAATATCACGTGCATTGGCTCGCCTCTAAAGCACAGTAAAGTATTTGCTCACGTTCAAAGGAGCATCCGCTTTATCTTTGTCGATAATCTGTGATGCCATCCTTCCAAAAGTCGCTCCTTAGCATGTGGTGATGCACTGCTTTCCACAATGGTTTTAAACGGGAGAATACAATTCTCATCTCTTGACATGACTCCATTAGCACAGCTAGAATATAATTGGGGAAAATATAATTGGGAATTGCACGAAGAGAAGTACACACATCTTTACATAAATAGTTTGTAGCTGGAGGAAGTATGATTTGGAAATCTGTTCTATCTTAAACTATTTGTTGTTGTAACCTTCTGACCTGCTTCATAGCTCATTGGACTCCTCCAGTCTTAAATACAGATTCTGATCTTCTTAATTAAGATTCTGATATTCTGAAGATTATGATCTTCTGAGTTTGCTGCTGCTGCTGCAGGTGATGTTCCGGATGAACTTTCTGACGGTGCTGCTGTGCCTGGTCATGGACCATCACTATCAGTTCTACTACTTCGTTCCACTCGTCTCGTTCTGGTTCCTGCTGCTGTATGGAACACTCGCTGTGCCTCCCAGGATTACCGCCAAGGATGGTGAAAGTAAGACCCGCTCACTGGGGTGTGTACATGTGGTAACATGCATTTGTGCAGGAAGATGAGACCATAATGAAACTAAACTTAAACTAACTGTTTAACACGTAGACTTTCGAAACCAATATCCATAATAGAGATTTTTTGGGTTAGATCACGTAAATATAAATGTGTCGTTAAATCTGCCACCACAGCCAGTTTGTAAAGTTTGTCATGCAAGCAAAAAATGCCAATTAGTTACTAGTTCAGCATACCGGTGTGTTGGAGAGTAAACTACAACATTTACAGTTCTATTTGTATTCACCAGGTAAGGCCCGCTGAGCTATATAGCTCTTTTTAACAAGTGACCTGGGCACAACTGATAGGTCAACAAAGCAGCTTATCATGTGGAAATTGATAGCAGCCAAATACTCTAAACACGTTTCTAAATGTGGGGGGAAAAACCAGAGTACTAAGAGAAAAATCCACACGTCCACGGGGAGAACATGCAAACTCCAAATATACAGGCGGAATCAAACCCACGACATCCTGCATACCAGGTGGGCTAGTTAACTTCTCGTCACTGTAGCGAGATGTTACCTACCTCGCCTAGTATGCAAGAAGATACTTCATCTTCACCATGATGCTAATGGTGAAGATGAAATCCTCTTGGCTCGCTATTTTTTTGCAGAAGGCTTATTAGCTGTCCGATTTGTTTTCGGCTTGTTGTACATGTTGTTTGGTGTGCCGTTTGACGTTTTGCTCCACGTAACTGGGAGCTTATTCAGGAACTGAAGAAGGAACCGAGTTCTGAGTTTTTATAAAGATGCTCCAAGTCCGTGAAGCCAAACGTCAGATATTGTGCTGTACAACGCGAATTACAACTCAAATCCACACCGGAGAGCAATACAGGCATACCTCTTATAGTGCTCAGGATGCGTTCTTGGTAAACAGCGCTATACGAAACAGCGCTATAGGAGGTCATTATAACATGGTTCGAATGGAGATGCGTTACCAAAAGCAGTATTTTTTACCTATGCGCAATATATCTGAGGGCTTCATTGGGGTATCGGTAATAACCTTAATAATTATACTTTACACATGATAAATGTATCAAATGATTTAATGAGAATAATAACTTTTAATGAGAATGACATAAAAAATACAATATGTTGTGTACTCGCCAGTGCATTTGGTCGGAGCTTGTGCAAGATTAACCACCGTCTGCCTTAAACACACATTCTTCAGAAAGCTGTACTAGCCAGTGGGATTACTTTATCCGTAGATCGCCAATGAATCAACGCAGTGATCAGCCCTCGATGAATCGATACTCTAACTTGGCCATGGGATCGACTATGAGCAGAATCAATTCAATAGACACCTCGATTTAGGTTCCACAAGACCATATATGGGCAACATCATCCCCCCATGGGCAACGTCACTCCTACTTTATTCCATATATGGACTGATCCGCGCAGGAATTATCCTGTAGTGCGAAGAGCATTACAATGAAAGAGCATCATCAGATACAGCGCTGTAAGAGGTATGCCTATACAGCACGGCCGTGAAATCCTACGCAGTACAGGGGCTTGATGTTGGATTTTTCTGAGATTGAGTGCTTTCTTGATTTGGTATTCCACTGTCCACCGTCCGTGTGCCTGCAGGTAGCGTGTACTGGAAATTGCTGATGGTGCTCAAGTTGCTGATGCTGTGTACCTGCATAGTGTTGCTTGCCCTTTCCCAGGTACGGTGGTAGCACAATAGCTGGTTTGAACCAAGCTCTATATAAAATGTTGTGACCGGTGCGTCATCATCTCGTGTTCTGCACAGTCTCTCTTTTAACTCTGCATATACTGCTTTCAGTGCGTTGTTCGCCATGATGTCCTAACATGACGCTCCATGTGCTGGAAGTTTTGGTAGGAACTAAATTCCCGGCACGTGGGGAGAAACGTCAGATATCGTGCCGAACAACTCACGGTCCGACCCAATAGCACATCAGAGAGCTATCCAGCGCAACCTGCTAAAATCTATGCATAGTCATGAAATTAAGTTTGCCCTATGATGTTGCTCGTTTTGTGTGACTTCCCCCCTTCATCACGCAGGAGGTGTTTGAGGGCCTGTTTGTGGTGTGGCCGGTGTCGGAGCTGTTCATGCTGCAGGGCAGTCTGCACGAGTGGTGGTTCCGCTGCCAGCTTGACCGATTCGTAAGCGTCGCGCCGTGGACGGCCGCCGCGGTTTCCGTTTCGTTGGCATCTCCGCACCGCAGGGGCGACACTGTTGTGTCATCCCCATCAGCTTTAATGTCTCGATGTCCGTGATTGACGACGCGCCCGATGCTTCCGATGAAGCGCGTCGTTAGGTTGAGAGTGTCGCTGGGGCACGCAGGAAGGTGGCGGGGGGGGCGGGGGGGAAGCCAGCCCCCGTGTAACCCGCTCCGCGGTTCCCAGGCGGTGCTCTTCGGCATGCTGTTTGCGTTCGCGTACCTGATGCTGAAGCGACGCGACTGGATCAACGAGGCCAAGATGGAGTCGCTCTTCCCCCGGTGGCTGTCGACCGTGCTGCTCTTCTTCTGTATCTCCACCATCGTGGTAAATAGCGTGGCGCTGCTGCACTCATTCGCCGGACCCTTGCGGTGAGAGTACAGTAAAATTGTGGCGAGCGAGAAAATTTGAGTTAAATTAGATGTCCGAAGATGAGCAGTGCACAGTAATTCGTGTGATGGGATGTGATCCTCATTATTTCTCCTGATGTGTTTTATTGGGTTTCACCACGCGTTGTTCGGCATTAATGTCCAGCGTTTCGCCCCACGTGTTGAGAGCTTCTTCAGGACTTCAGAGGTTCTCACCCACGTAGAGTACGACCCGGACATGCTGGAGAGATATCAAGCACTACCGTTATTTGATTATGCTCTTTTGGCAGTGGTGTTCAAGCACAACGAACAAAAACTCGATACATTCCTCAACTTAATAAAAAAAATTGCCATGAAGAAGAGCATCTGCCCGATAATGTCGTCCGTTATATATATTTTATTTTATGGCACTGCTATTGACGAATGTGCTGTTTATACGGTACTCAACCAGTTGAAATTACTAAAATCCTCTTAAAAACTTTTTTTTTACCTACGTGACTTTACCGAATAAAACCAAAGAGTATAGATCCTTGCAGTCACGGAAGCTTCAAATCTAGAATTAAAAACTTTTGTCATTGTAAACTTTTACCCAATTTTTGATCGCTATCTTACTGCCAACTGCCACTAACTCTTGCATTGGCCATGAATACAGTCACGTGCAAACGCATTCTTTCGTACTAGACATGCCTCGTACTTTTTAGGAGATTACTCAGCTCTGGCCTGTACCTGCTCCAAGAGATTTTAATTAGAGAAATGTATTCTTTACCCACTGTATTTTCTTCCCCTCTGTTGATTGCCCGGTGTGTGTTTGTATCGTGGTTCGTGTGCATTTTCTTAAAGCTTCAAATACATTTTTTGTTCGACGATGGTAGATTTATTCTCGTTCATTATGCGTCTCCGTTATTACAGCCTCAAACCCCTGACAATTCTTGGCGATTGACATTTTATTCCACGTTGTGGCCACACAGGGCTACACGGTCTGGTCTTCGCGATGCAGCAGCAAGGCGGAGTGCAACCAGATTCATCCCTACACTTCTCTGGTGCACGTAGGTCACCAGCATTGCACTCACCCCAACACCTACCACTCCCCCACATGCCTGCACACCAGCCACCGATACGATCCGCGATCCGCCACTGGATTAACAACTTACCCACGAAACATGTGGAGCCTGAGTAAAAAGACAGTGGAGTAGTGGCTTGCCAGCATGGCTTGTGCGGAAAGATTTCGTATCCTGCAGCAGATGGCAGTGTAGTGACAGCTGCGATGTTACTCTTAATGCATGTGCACACAACTTTGTATCAGTCTTGGTCAAATAAAATGTCTGTTCTCAATGTGCAGCCACCGTGGCATATTCACCTGCAACCACTGGGTCCTGCTTACACTGCTAAAAAAATGTGTCTAAGGATGTATGACCAATGAAATAATATGCCGCATGTATAATGGGGTAGGCAGCGGTGCGTTGAATCATGCATTGCGTCGGCAATGTTTTTACAGCAATGAATAACTTGCTGAATGATAATAGTTGTGTAATCTCTTGCTTTGTAATTTGATTAGTTGAGCCAGTCACATCCAGAAAATTACACCTCATTATCCTTTGTTCGAACCATCAGTGAGGCAATTTCCCAAAAGTGCATGCATATTTTATGTGAGCAATTTACATCCACAGTCGATGTCTGTTGTGATTAATGTTGTTGGTCATTCGATCATCATATTTGGAATTATGTATCACCACCATGAATGTTGAAGTCGATTCCAGTAAATGTTCTAAATGTTTAGTAACTATTCAAGTGATATGCGCAAACGTTTAAACCACATTATGGTAGCCTTTATAAGGCCCCAGCGTGGTATATATTCGAACAAAGACGCACACGGGGCTGGAGTTATATTTCATTGTTTGCAATTTCAATGTGGGGCAAACTGATAATTATAATCATCAGTGTTTTTACGTTTTTCCATGTGATTATCAATAATGCAAAAATAATATTAATTAAACACCCTCGTATTGCGATTACCGTATTTTCCCGCATATAACCCGCGGGGTATACCACTTTTTACAAACAAAACAAGACCCTGCGGGGTATATGGAGGTGCCGGCTATCCCAAAAATATTTTACACGTGTGACATGTCATGACTCATTTTATTTTTTTCATGGTAGGACTATCCACTATGCAGCACTTACCTTTGACTAAAGCACTGCTGAATAAACCACTCACACTAAAATTGTACATGTTATCACGTTTTAAATGAATTGTTTGTACAATTAAACGACTGTTTGAAGTGCGCGCACTGTTTACCGACGACGGGAGAGCTGTGGAGAGAGAGGGGTGGGGGGTTGGGGGGTGGGGCAGCTGGGGGGAGAGAGAGCTGGGGAGAGAGGTGGGGGGAGAGAGGTGGGGGGAGAGAGGTGGGGGGAGAGAGGTGGGGGGAGAGAGGTGGGGGGAGAGAGAAGTGGGGAGAGAGAGGTGGGGAGAGAGAGGGTGGGGGGAGAGAGGTGGGGGGAGAGAAGTGGGGGGAGAGAGAAGTGGGGGGGAGAGAGAAGTGGGGAGAGAGAGGTGGGGGGAGAGGTGGGGGGAGAGAGGTGGGGGGAGAGAGGTGGGGGGAGGAGAGTGGGGGGAGAGAGAAGTGGGGGGAGAGAGAAGTGGGGGGAGAGAGAAGTGGGGGGAGAGAGAAGTGGGGGGAGAGAGAAGTGGGGGGAGAGAGAAGTGGGGGGAGAGAGAAGTGGGGGGGAGAGAGAAGTGGGGGGAGAGAGAAGTGGGGGGGAGAGAGAAGTGGGGGGAGAGAGAAGGGGGGGGAGAGAGAAGTGGGGGGAGAGAGAAGTGGGGGGAGAGAGAAGTGGGGGGAGAGAGAAGTGGGGGGAGAGGAGAAGTGGGGGGAGAGAGAAGTGGGGGAGGAGAGAAGTGGGGGGAGAGAGAAGTGGGGGGAGAGAGAAGTGGGGGGAGAGAGAGAAGTGGGGGGAGAGAGAAGTGGGGGGATGGAGAGAGAAGTGGGGGAGAGAGAGAAGTGGGGGGAGAGAGAAGTGGGGAGAGAGAGAAGTGGGGAGAGAGAGAAGTGGGGAGAGAGAGAAGTGGGGGGAGAGAGAAGTGGGGGGAGAGAGAAGTGGGGAGAGAGAGAAGTGGGGAGAGAGAGAAGTGGGGAGAGAGAGAAGTGGGGAGAGAGAGAAGTGGGGAGAGAGAGAAGTGGGGAGAGAGAGAAGTGGGGAGAGAGAGAAGTGGGGAGAGAGAGAAGTGGGGAGAGAGAGAAGTGGGGAGAGAGAGAAGTGGGGAGAGAGAGAAGTGGGGAGAGAGAGAAGTGGGGAGAGAGAGAAGTGGGGAGAGAGAGAAGTGGGGAGAGAGAGAAGTGGGGAGAGAGAGAAGTGGGGAGAGAGAGAAGTGGGGAGAGAGAGAAGTGGGGAGAGAGAGAAGTGGGGAGAGAGAGAAGTGGGGAGAGAGAGAAGTGGGGAGAGAGAGAAGTGGGGAGAGAGAGAAGTGGGGAGAGAGAGAAGTGGGGAGAGAGAGAAGTGGGGAGAGAGAGAAGTGGGGAGAGAGAGAAGTGGGGAGAGAGAGAAGTGGGGAGAGAGAGAAGTGGGGAGAGAGAGAAGTGGGGAGAGAGAGAAGTGGGGAGAGAGAGAAGTGGGGAGAGAGAGAAGTGGGGAGAGAGAGAAGTGGGGAGAGAGAGAAGTGGGGAGAGAGAGAAGTGGGGAGAGAGAGAAGTGGGGAGAGAGAGAAGTGGGGAGAGAGAGAAGTGGGGAGAGAGAGAAGTGGGGAGAGAGAGAAGTGGGGAGAGAGAGAAGTGGGGAGAGAGAGAAGTGGGGAGAGAGAGAAGTGGGGAGAGAGAGAAGTGGGGAGAGAGAGAAGTGGGGAGAGAGAGAAGTGGGGAGAGAGAGAAGTGGGGAGAGAGAGAGAAGTGGGGAGAGAGAGAAGTGGGGAGAGAGAGAAGTGGGGAGAGAGAGAAGTGGGGAGAGAGAGAAGTGGGGAGAGAGAGAAGTGGGGAGAGAGAGAAGTGGGGAGAGAGAGAAGTGGGGAGAGAGGTGGGGCAGAGCAAGGTCTGTGGTGGTGACGGGAGAGCTGGGGGGAGAGAGTGGTGGGGGCGAGGCAACGGCGTACCGTAATGCCGCTACTATCTGCGCAGTGCGCAATCTACCAATACTAAAACTAGTTATTTACCAGTTATGTGTTACTTATTTATTGGATACTTACTTTTGTTACTTATTTACTATTTTAAGTTAACTCGTTTCCGGTTAGTTTGTTTTCTTTGTGCACCTTACGATTTTAATGTTCACAATTGATAGAGGAATGTATTACGAATATAAATAAATCTATGAAATTTGTTTTACACAAAACGCTTTTTTTGCGGGTTATATGCGTATGCGGGAAAATCCGGTAGTTCATGTTCAGGTGGCTAAGTGAATTTTTATTACATCGCAGAATCGTGAGAGGCAGTGGCGGCAACTTGGTGTGGCCTTCATCCAGCAGTGGATTGACCACGGCCGACGATGCTGAATTGTGATGCATATTTCCGTTGTCGTGTCCCCCCCCCCGCCCCCTCCCCGCCGCCATGCAGATCCTCGCATTCGTGCTCGTGCGGAACATCCCTGGCTACGCCCGCTCCATGTACAGCACCTTCTTCGCGTGGTTCGGGAAATTTTCTTTAGAGGTGGGAAGGACGCACCTCCACAATACACCTTCATTGGCACGGCTGCTCCGGAAAAAAACACAACACTGATTCGTTGTCTTCACTGCACAGTTCATTGAACAAACCTTAACAGCAGCATTCAGTTTGAAATGCCTGTGCTGTACTTCCTTTACAAGGTGAGCCCATAAGAGCTCACGGTACAGCCAGGGGCGGAGCCAGGATTTTCTTCCCGGGGTGACATTCAACAAATTTTAATTTCAAGAATGATTGAATAAGAAATCGGCTATACCACACGCCATCGGTTGGCAACACACTCTGACAATGCAGTTGCACGGAGTCCGCCAGACCGAGTGTCGTACACAGAATGTTTCACATTTTCGATTTTTTGTATTTTTTCGGGGGTGACAATTGTCTACCCTGTCACCCCCCTGACTCCACCCCTGGGTACAGCTGTGCAGATGTATTTTTTTTTCATGTTCCTTAATTGGCAGCAGTTTGGTTTAATATTTTGCTACTCTTTGCCTAAACCCATTGCTTACAAAATTATATGATCCAATTTATACGTCGATGTAAGTCCCCAAATGCTCATGTGTTTATGATTCCTTCTTCCCTCTGTCCCACAAATCCCCCCCCCCCGCTCTATTGCCTCACCTCAATCTGTACGTCACCACCCCCCTGCAATGCTACCCTCAGCTCTTCATCTGCCAGTACCACGTGTGGCTGGCGGCTGACACGCGCGGCATCCTCGTGCTGGTGCCAGGCGGCTGGGTCCTTCCCAATGCCATCATCACCACGTTCATCTTCGTGTGCGTAGCGCACGAGGTGTCGGCCATCACAGGCGTGCTGGCCCAGCACCTGGTGCCCAAGGAGTGGCCGGCGCTCCGCCTGCACATGCTGCTGCTGGCCATCTCCCTAGGACTCCTGCTGTTGCTCCAGTGGTTGCAGAACCGAGTGTGGACGTGAGGACCTTTTCCAACCAACCAACGCTCGCTCCCAAACCCCTCGACTCTTAAACCCTCACCCTGGGCCTCACCACCTCGAACGCTTTGCTTCCGCCACACCTTAAACTTTTAATTTGTTCCAGGCCCAGTCGCCTGTCGGCTCATTGGCTGAAAGCAAGCGTTCACCCACGCTGCTGCGTGTGTCAGCTCTGGGGGGGTGGGGGCGTGACGTCGACAGGGAGTGCTGCGTGCCCCAAACATTATCACTCCATGTGGACTGCAGCCTATCTCAGTGGGCCATGCGATTCCTTAAACTTAAAACGTTCAGCTGGAATGTGCCACATTGATACTTTTTTTTTCGGAGCAGAGACACGGCACACTGCTGTGACCTCATACGTTTAAACTTCAAACGTGAACTCCTGCAGCACATGAGAGTTCATTGCTGCTCGGTCTCATGAACAGGTGCATAGGGAGGCACTCTCCTCAGGTGTGCTTTATATCTTTTAAATTCTGTTCTAGGCGGGGCTTGACCTAAAAATATGCCCATTGTGGTATAGTTTATTCCTTTAAAAGATCTCCAAACTGTGTTTTTCATGGACTGCTAAAGTTAGGAGTAAAATCCCTATCAGAGCACTTTTGTGCTATTCGACGCACTTTTGTCAATGGCCACGACACTGAAATGTGCGACACCAATTGCCTGGTCTCAGAAATGATCGGCAACTTTGTTCACCGATGCAACTTTTGCATTTCAGGCAATCGTGAGGAAAAAATCCCACTGCCAACGCAAGGGTATCTCACCAGAGGCTTTCAGGATATTATTCTCCTTTGATCTGTTTTGGGTGGTGTCGTGGATTTCAAACAAGACACTCAATGGTGTCAAAAGCACGCAGCTGTTGTGCATATGCAACAACAAAAAAACCGTCAGCATCTCCCAAAAAAGTGCATTGTTGGTCTCTTTGTCTTAGATCACCACCAAATTACACTTGAGCGAATTTGACCGAATTACAGGAGGATTGATGCAGTGACAACTGTGGACCAGCTTCACCACAATTAGGACTCATCAGCAAATTACATTTGCCAAATTGTATCCTGTTTGAAATGTATGGTTTTGCAGCGTGCACTATTATTCTGTTATGGATGGGTTTTCTCGCCACTTACAGATTTTATGTAATTGGTGTGGCATGTTGATACAAACAGGTCGGCATTACGGTTTTTTTGTTTTAATTATCTATTTGCTTTACAGGGATGTCCACTGAATGTTTTTATTGAAGATTGTAAAAGCACTGAACAGTGAATAACATCTTATATTGTCACTTTGCTGATGCCAAATGGAACTGTGATCCCAAGCTGCTGCACAGCTCTAACATTATGACAGCAGTTGTCAGCCTCTGAGATGCGGAATTCATCCCCCTAAGCTTTTCCTGCCGATAGATTCTCCAGAGCAACATGACATGAAAAGACGTTCTCTGACAATTATTGTCCATCCTGAATATGACACTGGTCATTCAAATAATAGGAACTGTATTAAAATAATATTAATTTATGAGGAGTTAAACCAATTAAGAGAGGTTCATCATTGAGTCACAGGTGCAGGGTACTGTTTTAATCTTCTTGCAATAGTAAAAATAATTTTACGTATAGAGATGCATTGATACTGTGGGAGAAAACTCCCAAACAGAACCAGTCTCATAGAGAGGACTTGTTACATTGCTGGTGAATGGTGAAATGATGGGATGATTGGGTGTTTGGTGTGTGTTGGGTAATCAAGAGTGGTTTGTGCAATCTGAGGAAGTAATGTAATGGGTGCCAGGTCTGGTGATGCGAGAACAGACCTGGCTCTGGGTGAACGTGGGGAAAACGGGAACCGTTTATCCTTGGTGGATTTTTAAAGTTTACTATACATTACATGTTTGTCACTACTGTAATAGACTTGGGATTTTGGTGTGAAATGCAATTTTGTAAATGTCAATTTTGTTAAAAAAATGGATGTATTAATGCATTACAAGACTACATAAATATAAATTATTTGGATGGTTATTAGGCACATGCATTGCTTACTTTCTGCTGCACTGTCGATATGATTTGGCAGTGGTCACAACATTTACACAAAACTGCATAGTAACACTGCAATGTAATAATTGTTTGCCTTTTTTTATTTACACAAAACGATGCCATTGGCATCAAGTTTCAGACGTCTATGAAACAGCCACACTGCACTTTATGGAACAGCTTGCATGTGAATTTACAATCTTTCACTGGCCATACTGTTTTACCACAAGCTCACGATTGCATTTAGCCAAGCAGATGAGTGAATGCTTTGCTCTGGCTCGTGTGATCTATCCAGGGATACTACCCTTAAAAGAAAACTGACAGCTAATTTATTCATTGAACTGTGAACCTGCTAAATATGTCCACAGAGCACAGGAAAGCGTTACAGACGGTCAATTCACGTATCCAGTTTAATGGGAAGGAAAAAAGCATTATTCAAAACATGTAAATTCGGATATAAAATCATTGATATTCTATTCCGAGTGGGGTTGAAAAATATGTTTTATTGTTTCTTATAGTAATTGGTTTACTTACCGACGTGAGAATTGCATCACCGTCACTCGGTGAGAAATCCGAGGTAAAACATTTTTTTTGCAAGCACGGTTAATCTGCAACTCTAGATTTCACTGTTCAGTGATAGTAGAGTTTAAGACCCTGGCCCTTGAATCATGTGTAGGAGCCCAGGAATTGAACATATAAACTTTTAGGTGCTTACTCTTTGCTGTGACATGGGATTTAAACCTCAAACACCCACCTATTGCTCCTCTTAGCAATTATTTCATGATTATAAAATACTGAGAAATAAACACTTCAAAATACATACGATTATTTTGACAAATTGTTAGAATGGCATTTGGCACAATGAATGGTCCTCAATTGTGATCTCAACACAAGTTCATTGGGAGATGAGCATCGTTTTTCGATTCTGTAAAATTGTATCAATGATTCACTTGTTTGTCAGCAAGATGTTTAATGGAAAAACAACATTACATGACTCCATATGTCCAAGAATCTCGATGGCATCAAAAAACTTATCCTAGCCTGAGCCACATGACAGTACTACAATACTTTTGGCACTCCATAGTAAGAGAACACTTGCACAAGACAAATGATGTGACACCTTACATATTAGCCTAAATATTAATGTGCAAATGTGTTTAAAACAATCCCGGATTCTACACATAGCTGTAGCGATTTAAGTGTCTCTGTGTGTTTTGCCAGGTGATTAAAAAACGGCTTATGTTCCACATTAGAACTGTGGTAACAAATCGCATTCATTTTAGAGGAAAACTTTGTTAAAATTACTTCCGTGTTTTGCGCCATTTCAGAAGTCACCAGAAGGTTTTCTTAGTCAACCATTTTTAAACCAACACACCTGGCTGACTGTCGAGACTCTGGCTCTGGCCAAGGTGGGCCTGCAGACCACTGCACGGCACTGCACGGGCACTGCCGTTTCTAGTCACAGCAGTTGTTGAGAGACTTGGAGAAGGAGTTTTGGCCACCAGGCTGAGGAGGTAGTGGGGGTGGTTGCTGCAGTGGTCTTGCCCTGTCCAAGCTCGAGTGTTGAGCAACCTGAGTTCTGTGATCACACGCAAGACATGATTTGCACGGGTTACATTGCTTCTAAGCACGTGTCTGTGTGTCAAGCATCGGAGAGAATTGTGAACAGATTTACACCATCGTGTGCGCACGTACATAAAACTAGTCTCCTTCCGCCTGGAAGAGTTTGGTTGAAGGTTGTGGGTTGAGAGCACGGCGTTGTTCGGATCCCTGTAAAGGCAGCAGTTGTCAGCGTCTGAAAATCATTGCCTTCAAAGGATTGAATGACGAGAAGAACACAACTCCAATACTTGAGCATTGTACCCTGGCCTTCAATGTATATGATCACACTGAAGGAAAGAGAAATGAAACGACAGCACACTGAACAATGGAGACATCACGCCAAGCACGGTCTTCGCAGGCTGACGTTTCTCTTCCTGCAATGAGATCATTGGTAATTGTAATCATTGGTGGTACCAGCTCACTTGAACAAAATATTTGGTTTGGTGCATCACGTCACTACACATGCTGGACAAGCTACATAATTTAATTATATTATGGCTGCGTGAAAGAAGGGAATAAACTAATCACGATAAAAGCTCTTTTAAAAGTGTCATTAGACATGAGTTTTGCCTAATATTTTGCACAACGTTGGGGCCCTAAACTTTGTGGCCGAGTTTGCCCAACGAACCGTTTCTCGATTAACAAATATGCCGTCACTGGTCGACGGACAAGTGACATTCTCCCAATTCGCAATGCCGTTCGTCACGAAGGAAGTTCCAGCGGTCGACTCCCTCACCGGCCGTGGGCGTGCACGAACGCGGCGCTGTAGCTATCGTAGTCGAGGTTCTGGGGGGGGGGGCGCCCCCCCTCCCGCAGCGCCGGTGCCCGGACCGCCCCGGTCCCTGTGGCGGCCGCCGCCGCCGAGCGCCGTGAGAGAGGCCATGGGGTGGGCCCCGTCGCGCTGCTTGGACCTGACGTGTGGCTCCTCGCCGGCGTGCCGGCTCCGGCACTGCTGCACCAGCTGCTCCCTGGAGAAGGGGAGGGGGGGCCGTGCCGGCGACAGTGGATTGCCGATGTTGATCCAGGCAGCGATGTGAAATTCACGCAGCGCGTCTTTTTGTTGAACGCATGAACCTTTGGTCCGATGGCTGGAGTTCCAACATTTACTGGAAGCCATTCTTTTTGTTATTTTTTTTATTTCTCTGATCCACAGATTGCTTACAAAACTGCGTTTTGTGTTTAGAAACGGAAAACAACCCATTTAACTCATTGCAAGCAAAGCAACTTGTCAATTACGATATAACCCCACTCGCTGTTGGTCTATTTTTGGAGAGTTTTATTTGGTCACAAGACAGCTTTGAGAAAGCTATGCCTCCAGGCTGGGTCAGCGTTTGGGGTCAGTGACCTCCAGCAATCTGCTGAGGATTTCCTGCACAGCCTCAGAATTGGAGGTGAGCACCTCTGTGCTGCTAATTTGTTGACATTTTAGGCAGCTCGTTCACTGCAAATGCCTAGGATATAAAGTGCCTACTCTCCGATGCGGTTTGGGATTGTTTTTTAGGATTGTAAAACGTGTTCGGTGTGATGTCCGACGTTTCGCTCCCAGCAGTGAGCTGCTCAATTCAGTTCCTGAAAATTCTCCCAGCAAGTGGAGAAAAACGTCGGACGTCATATCAAACAATACGTGATGCGACCTGAAAGCATGCAGGAACACTGGGAATCCATGTTAGGCACACGAACATTTTCTATGAACCTTATTAAAACAGGCAGTTCTTTTCCAAAAATATTAATTTGCAATGCGACTTCCCGACATATATTATGCTATTTAGTGATACGGTGTGCAAGAAGTGTTTTCAACATGTTTGATGGACACATAAAATGTTTTATGGTCAATAAAGCAAAACATCTGGTTCGTGGCCTGCATGGAATTATTTTGGAGCCTGGATTGTACATTCAGCAGCCCTATTTAATTGTGTTGTTAAACTCCTTTAGTACATTTTTTTCTTTAATCTTCTGTGTAAAATCCTCCCGTAATGGTCCCTGAAGAATCAACGCAACAAAGAAATCCCTGAACTCAAGGAAAACTGAATAAACACATTATCCAGAGCCAGAGGGAGTGGTAGCGGGGTGTGGTAACGTCACAAGGCGGCACGCACTTGCGTGTGAAGCATAATGCAACGATTGATCGTGTAAAAATAAACGGCACTCTCAATTTTTGAGTGCGGGATCCAGCGAGTGTGATTTGTTTTATTTATTCGTTATATTGAATATGGGTGGAGGCGGTGGCCCAGTGGTTAGCGCACTGCACTCCGAAACCGGCGGCCTGAGTTCAATTCCTGGCCACAGCTAACATTATAGGACAGTGATATCTGAAGTATTAATAAATAACCTCTCCCGTGACCTAAAAGGTGTGGAGATGACCGTCCACCTATCAGTGGACTGTCAAAAAGGCTTTAAATTACTATTTTAACGTTAAATATTAAAACCGGACACATACAAACTGCGTGGGATTCACACAAGAAAGAAGAAAGGAAATCCACTTACTCAGTCGTCTGCACTTCCTGCTTTTGCCTTGGGGGGGGGGGGGGGGGGGGGGGGGGTGGGGTAAACGCCCAGATGTAAGTTGTAATAACCCAGCACTTTTCAATCACCATCTACGTTTACCGACAGCCCCTGAGACGCAAAGCCCACTCTCTCCACAGGAGGCCATCACAACGGAGACACGTTTGGGGAAGTTTTCTTCGTGGGGGGGGGGGGGTGGGAACAGTGAGAGGAAAACGATGTGGTGGTACTGTAGTGGCAGTAGTAGTGCACAGGCACAAATAACACAAAACACAACGTTCTTGTTAACAACGCTGCGCTGAGAAAGGAAATGTTATTTAAAAGATGTTTTGGGCAATTTCCCATCTTCTGCCCTCGGCTCTGACGAATGGCCGTTGCCCAAAATGTTGCCAATTGTACGTGTTCTCTTCATGGCAGTGGTCATTGACGACCGTGTTGAGTATCGGTGCAAATAGACGTCACGCATTGCAGACCACAAAAAATGATGCATGTTAGCAGCTATTAAGATGAAATGTTGTACCTAACTCCAATAAAGTTGTTTAAAATGCCTTTTGTTTTTTTTTTCTTTGTGGGAATTCTCTGTATGGGTCCTCAGGGGTGAACGCAACGCATTCCTCAACTCGAGAAAAACGTAAAACAAATACCTACATTTTTGTCACATGTTTGCAGATTTAGTGCAAACATTCTTCCAACAAATTTTTCTTCATATATGCGGTCCTGTACAGTATATCAGCTGCAAATAATTTCATTACACAGAATTGTACTTTTACACACGCTCGACTGAATAGTCTCAGCGAACAGCACAATTATCATCACATTAAAACGTGATGGAAAATAAACCTATCTCATTTTAAATCAGTGCCTGCAGGAAGGAATACGCGACGCTAATTTTAAAGGGCAAAAGTAATCAGAACTTCGTTCCGTGTCTCCACGTGTAAATGCAAATATTCTTGAATCCATCGGCTAAATGAACTTCCAGTCCAATATCATCTAACAGCATTCGGCAGGATAATGTTGGACCAGTATCAACCTTGTGGGTCTCATCAGCAGTCAGGCTTGTTAAACAAATGCCACTAGGATCATAATTTGCCATTGCGAATCCACTGCTGGATGAAGGTTTCCAAAAGCCACCACCACCTCTCATTATTCTGTGATTATAACAATGCACACATGAACTGCAGCTGGATTAATTACCAGATGGTATTGGCAAAATTATGTCCATCTAAACGATGTGGCCTTGACCAACAACGTCTAAAGGACTGGCTCGCAACACAAGCGGGGATGGGGTCTTGAACAGTGATACTTTTTTGGGGGTAATTTTCTCGATGATTCCGCTCACGAAAGAGACACCCCGACTCACAGTCCTTGGCGGCGGCAGCACATGAGGTAGCTGAGAGCCACAGCGAGAAGGCTGGCAACCACGGCCGGCACGGCGGTCGTGAGCACAAACTCGGAGTGCAGGTCCCGGCGCTCAAGGGAGAGGCCCGGCGGAGCAAACTCCACGTCCACAGCGGGCTGGGCTGGGGCGTCCCCGTCTCCCGTCGGTGCCTGGGGGCCCCGGCTCGTGCTGCTCACCCAGGCCTGGCTGTCCTTGGCCACGCTGGTCTGGTCCAGTGAGTGGTCCATCTGTGTGTGTGTGCGTGTGTGTGTGTGTGCAGGGGTTGAAGGTCGCTGCGATTGTTTTGGAATGAAGCACGTTGGATGGAATCGCCCGGACACAGCTCTCTACCATCTTTCGCGAGGAAGGTTGTTTAGATGTTACACTCTACGTGACTTTACCGAAAGAACCAAAGAGTATGGATCCCTGCGGTCACGCAAACTTCAAATCTAGAATGAAGGTTGTTTAGAGTGTGTTTCTTCTTTAAACATTAATCGTCATGGATACATTTCATTTCAAACCAGACTAGTCTGGTTCAGACACTTAAACTTGTACCTTCCCTCCTGCCCACCCACCATTAGCTCTATAATATCGGTCGCCTTCATTACTCATGCCAACTCTTGATGACAAGATGATAAACAAATACAGCCAGTTCTTTAATTGAGTTCACATGCTGTAAATTTCAAGTGACCGAACCGGGAATGCGCACGATCCCCTAAGATCTCTGAAGCGAAACAGAGTTGAACCTAGATATAGTGTTTGGATGGGTGGCCAACATACTTAAAACAGGTGTTGTAGGCTACTGCAGGAATACGTTGTCAGCACAGGGTAGTGCAGCAAAATACATTGTTCTACTTTACTATACTCCAAAATGTATGCTCTCCACCTTCACAAAACCGCACAGACCGGCGTGATGAAGTATGTTCAGATAACCTGCACAGTACAATGACGCCTTCATACAGCTGTGCTGACGATGCTGCTGATGACACTGATGATGATGGATTCTCTAGTAGTTCAAGAAGAGTGCTTATAATTTACAGCTGCACATGTAAATCATAAGCACTCTTGTGGCACTACCACATCATTCATCAGCATCATCATCGTTGTCATCATCGTCATCTTTGCGATGGACCAATTAGTAAACCACACTATGTGAACTCTCTCCTGAAGCCCTCTTATGGTGACTGGCGAGCCTCGACATTGGCATTTAGCTTCTGAACATATTGCTGCTACCAAGCACAAGAATAGAACAGAGCAGCGGTTCTCAAAGTGCGGTCCCCGCACCGCGAGTGGTCTGCGACGGTCCTCCAGCTGATCCGCGGGCTGTGATGCAAATGCAGGTTTGATCCGGAAATAATGACAGTAACCTTTTGCTTCTGACATTCATTAAGATGATATTTAATTTTAAAAGAAGTTGATTAAACTACCCTAAAATATAAATGCTGTCCCCCACCCTAAAAAAGTATAGCTGCTTTTAAAAAAAAATCTATGTTTTTATGTTCCGTTAAAATGAATCATTTTGTATTCGTGGTATTTTTTTTTGTCACCAGCTGGGTGGTCCGCGGAAAATGTTTGAATCGGCTGAGTGATCCGCGGGCCAAAAACAGTTTTGAGAAACCACCGATATAGAATCCGTGCGGTGTTGCCAAGTCGCCCAGCGCGGAGGACGCGCGCTGCTCACGGTCACCAGTATGAACTTGCACCAGTCGACGCGGAACTGCGAGCCGAACTTGCGGTCGAAGCTCACGGTCAGCTGGCTCTCCTGGCTGCAGCGCAGGCGGTTCTCGGGGGACAGGGGCTCGGCCAGGTGCGTGGAGTAGCGCGTGTCCGAACCCACCAGCACGTACACCCTGGCACAGAAGGGGGCCGTCGCGACTCAGGAATGAAAAGTTTTCAAAATCACTGCGTTAGGTATTCGCGGATGTGCCCTACAGCCGGGCGGTGGTGGCTATGCATCCGACCTGTAATCCAGCCCTGTGGAAGTGAGCGTTTGGGGGGATCACCGCGTAAATGTTGTGGGTGTCGAGGAGGAGCCAGCCATACCCTGGCTAGACAGGAGAATTCAGGACGGCAAATGTGAACTCCACCTGTTCCGTCTGAATGGTGTTTCCCCCTCGCACGCGTGGGTTTTATTCAGGTGCACCGGTTTCCTTCCACGTGTAAACACTCGTTAATTTGGCGTCAACACCTTAATATATTGAGGACAGCAGAGCGTGGGTAATTGTTGGCGCCGGCTCACGGCATGGCTACCTTCCTGCATGTTTGTCTGTGGCTCCTCACGCCTCTCTTTCCAAAAGTGAGCGAATACTGTGCGGCGCATTATAACTTCAATTTATTGCAATTATTATGTATTAGCCCTCCATCTACAATGCGGACCTTCAATAGAAAGCTGCACACGTGTACACCCCTTTGTCACTCCATTGCAGGGTTATTTAGGGGTTACCCCTACCATGGGAGTTCTGCGGGATAGTGACCATACTTCTCCCTGCCGTGCAGCACGGGTTGGTGAAGGCGGGGAGCATAAGCGTGAGAAAAATAGAAGCACAAAGCAAAAATGGAGTTTGCTGCACCCGTCCACTGCTGCCCACCACGTGTAGCCCTGCAGCCTCGAACCGCATTTTATATACATGGTGGTTGCCCACTCGAGAGCACCATCCAGGCCTAACCCTGCCTTGGTGAAATTCCACATTCGCTGCGGCAGAATCCCAAAAATGTGGTCCTCAGCTACCTCAAACATTGGTCATTGTTTGCATATATATGTATGTTGAACTTCTTTCGCACCGTACGTTGCCAACCGTGCTAATCAGAGGCGCGTTAAACAACGTTAAAGAATACTGTTACGTCCATGCACACTCTCGTGTGCGATCCTGCTTATCTCTGTATTTCTGGCATGAGTATTATTATGGGAAACCAACATTGAAACCCACTATTGTTGATGTTGACATTTGCGGGTTGTGAACAGCAAAAAGCCATTTGCTATCATTTGCATCGTGCGTTATTCTGCCAATTTAGGTCCACAGCTCACGCACTCTCATTCTTGTTATGTCTGTCAGGTCCTGCCCTCTTGGGTAACACGCTTACTTTGCTTGTTTTCGACTGTGATTTGGCAGAGACACCAATGCACTTGGATGACTGTCCAAGGACTGCTTGCTGAATGCTATTAAATTAGTTTTAAAAAAAAGTTACACCATAAAACACTTTGCAATACAGTAGGTCACATTTCGTGTCGTTATTTGGGAACGAGCATTGTTTTCTTCTCAAGAACTCACTCTGCGGTGCTTCAAATAATTTTAATACGATCCTCAAAAATGCCTCCTAATTGCATTATTAAACTCTCTCATTACCATCATCATCATCAGTACAGATCAGTCCACTACTTGACAAAGATCACCCCAAGCCGTCACCATCCCCCATGCTCCTACGATGCAACAATCCATCTAGCACTTGCACACACGCTGATTTCATCTCTCCACCTCTGCGTTGGGCATTCTATCGTGCGCATGTGCCCTGCTTTAGCTCCGTAGTTAGCTTCATCCATCGGCCAATTCATGCCTTCTAGTGATGTGTCCTGCCAAAACCTACTTACAGGACTTTTCTTAACAGAAAGATAAGAGCTCTCGAACCTTCCGTACATTCTCTAATCATGGTGTTCGTCTGTCTCTCAGCATAATTCCAAGAGTGCTTCTTCGTGCATTTTTCAGCTTTTGTCCCATTTTCTTTGCCAATTTCCACATTTACCACAACATGACAATGACTGGTAGCCTTTATAACTACTCGGGAGAGTCAATCAGGCACTGTGTTTCAGGACATTGTTTTTATGCATGTACACAGTGCAAGCAATCCTGCGCTGTATTTAGATTTCCCACAGCTTCAAGGGCGGAATCTCCTCGATGCGGGTGATCTCTAGAAGGTGATGCGGGTGGGGAGGGGTCGTGTGGGGGCGGGTTGAGGAGGTCGAGGAGGGAGTGTACGGGCAGCAGGGGCGGCGCTCGACACAATCGAACCGAGGAGGGTTTCCACGCATTTCAAGAGGCCCCGAATCAATGACAAAAAAAACAGGGGTGGCATCAAATATCAGCCGAAACTCAAATATGAAAAAACATAAGCTAATTCATAATAATGATGACGACAAAAATGGCAATTCGATGTTCTCGCCTCTATCTTGCCTGCATCTATATTCTATTGGATCACAACACGTCCATGTATGTCTACATTTCACCATAGGCGAAGTTTGTATATATTGGGGGGGGCAGGGGTTCGCTTTGTCCGTCACATTAGGAATCGCGGGTGCATATCATTAATTAATTTGTAATCTGTATTGTAAACTCCAGAAAATAAATTGAGGTGTCCACCCGTGCCTCCCCCCCAAACTCCATCCCATGCGTTTCGCTTGTGTCTTTACACCTAAGAGTGAGGCGCAGGGGAGAGCGTAGGGGAGATGGGGAGATGGGTAGGTGAAGGGGTATGAGAGAGGGTAGGGGGGAGGGGAGGAGAGGCCCACCCTTCCTTCTGGCCACTCAGAGGCAGGGGCACGCGGCCACCTCTGTCCAATGCCGAGCTGACATTGAGGGCGTGCAGACGCAGGTTGTGTCCTGGCTGCCAGATGGCCTTCACCGCGCCTAGGAAGTCACCAAGGACGTTGCTCGGAAGCAGCTCCTCCACGTTCATGTTGCGGATGAAGAACTCTGCTTGGAAGGGAAGACTGACTGCACGCGCAAGGCAACATAACCGCTTGTATCCGTGCAAAGTTTTGTACAATTTCCAAATCAACATTATCATCATCAGCCATGATTCACATACTGCTAGATGAAGGTTTCCCCAAGCCTTGGCCATCTCTTACCGTCCCTGCGATGCAACAATCCCATCTACCGCATGTACATTAGCTGATAGTATGTGGGGGATCTCCTCTAGGGCTTATTTATTCCTCCTTTGGTTGTTACTGCCGTTACTCTCAACCACCGGCCATCACCTCTTTGAGCTAGTACGTGTTCTGCACAAGCCCATTACATTTTTATCAACAGTCAGTATGATTTTTCTAACGTGTGTTCTCTGATACATGAGAATCAGAAAGAGGGACACGGATTAATCAGTATATTTCAACTGGGACAATTAGTCAATTTGGATGAAGCAACGAATTATTATCGGCTACAATTTTGTTGTTGATTGCAAATGCCTCTTTAATTATATTGGTGGCTGCCCCTAAAAGCTATACCCAGCGTGAAGCAGCTGATGATGCCAATGACATCATTAAGCTGTGACCTTTACCTGCCATCCAGCGGCACACAGGGCAGCAGATGTGAGACGTATTTTCTCCAAAAGCTTGTGTTTCCGATTAGTCGAGTAATCAAAACGATTTTCGCTAAAGTAATCGATTGCTTAAATAATGATATAGCCCAGCTAAAAAAAACACAAACATTAGACTTGTCCTGGTCCAGTTTGAGTTTCTCTGGCACAAACAACTCCCTGTAGTCCTCATGAGTGATGTGAGTATCCTCTGGTGAGTATAAACATTAATCCTAACACCTGAGTCCATCTGCTGTTTTGTAATTCCCCACACGCAAATTTACCAATAAAACTGCTTCATTTTAATTCACTGGGCGCAAGCATCAATGTTCCCTGAAAACCATCGCAATGTGTGCTATTAATAAAGTATTCAAGCTTTCGTGACTGCATAAAACTACTCATTGTTTTTTTCGGTAAAGTCACGTATGTAGAAATACTATAAAATTATATTTAAACAAAAAAACAATCACCACGTTTCTATCACAACGCAAGCGATCTTCATCAGATCTTCATCAGATCGCTTGCGTTGTGATCGAAACGTCGTGATTGTTTTTTTGTTTTAATAGAATTTTATTGTATTTCTACATACGTGACTTTACCGAAAAAAATCAATGAGTAATGTGTGCTATTGTTTCAGAAAATAAAATTGTTTTTTTTTCCGAATTTTTCACACCAGCACTGAGCGTCAGTGGCAAGCTCAGAGAATTACATTCTGGATAGGGCAGGAAAAGGGGCAAGTTTAATTTTGAGGAGGGCACAACCTCTCGCTGAAGAAAGGTAAACACCGCGCCCGGTCTTTGTAATGGAAGGCAGTGAAGCTTCTCTCTCTCTCTCTGACCTGCCGCAAACATCGCTCCCGCTGAACATGTGGGTTCCTGTTAACGGTGCATGTACACGATGTCCTGTGTGCTCTGCTGAACACGTAGCCTGCATGTGCAGGGTTATTATTTAGTATGTTTGCTTACCCAGGAAAGCCTGCCAGGTTTTCGCAGTAGCGGGCGATAATTGCAATGCATATCCCACTTAAGAAACTTGCAGGTAATTTTTTATTCGGCAAAATTTGGTCCGTGACGCCGGCACGCAATGGCCTGTTCTTGTGACGGACGTCAAGGATCGATAATGTCCACTGTGAAGCAGAATGCGTGCGATCATTGCGTGAAGTCAGCTGCAGTACTACATCTGCAGCAACCCGCAACAGCACGAAGCGCTAGGCCACGTCACCACCCCTTAAAAGGTCTTCTTCTCTCGTATGGATTAATATCAGCAGATTCAAGATGTCATTTTATATTTGTTGAATTGCCTGTTCAGACGCAGCAAAATTGTGCTTGCATAGACGAACCGAGGGCACGATGAAACGGCTCGTCTGGCCCTGAGGAGGACCTTTGTTGCCAGACTTCTTCTTTCTGCTGTAACCCAGAGGTTGACTGCCGACATACGGTTTCCTTAGCGATGTAATTCGTTATGAACTTTGCTGTAGACTTCACGTAACAGCGTGGGGCATGAGAAGGCTGACATAACCCCCCCCCCCCTGTCCTTAAGAGGTGAAGAGATCGTAAGCGTGGAGCCTCACTATTTGACGGCAGGATGTTGAAAACCACTGTGTGCTGGATGGTGTCGTACGTCCATCGGTTGTAAGCAATCACCTGCAACGATAGGACACGTTCTGCAATTACATATTGACTTCCAGCTAACACTCAATATGTACATGTACATATACAGCCCTCTTGGTAATCCATTGCTGGATCAGAGCCTCTCCACGCTGTGCAGGTTATAGGGGTTATTTGACCATATGTCATCATGCTGGTGCGTGCTGGATGGTGAACACGGGCGAGCATAGACGTGGGAGCATAGAATCACACTACAACGGAGGATTATGCACTGCCTTTGTTGACCACCATGTAGCCTCTCAAGCCTCATGACAACTTGTTGGTGGATGGTGGTCATCCATCCATGAACTGGTCAATGACAACCCCATAACCAAATACCATAAATTTCCGTCCCTCAATATACCTCCAAATATGTATGCACTTATTTACCAGCATTACGTTAATATTTATAATATGAAAATAATTAAGGTGGTGATAAGATATTAAGGTGGTGATAAAAGCTTAAGAGTCTTAAGCTCTGTTGTAACCCAATTTAAAGACTCTTAAAGTGCATTAGGAATACAGTAAATGAAAAACGACTTACGGTTAACAGTGCTGCTTATTTTCGAATGACCATCTAAGTACAAGCTGATATCACATTTAAAAAAGGAAAACATGCATTCAATATTGACCTTGCAAATCCACGAAGCCATTACGTGTAAAAGCAAATAAATTCATCAAAATAAAGGTTTTTGGGTTATATCGCGTAAGTATAAATGTGTCGAAACCCTCCACCACCCGACATTTGTCACGTGACTAAAACGACAAATAGTTACGACTTCAGTCCACCGGCGTGTTGAAGAGTGACTCCACAACATTCACAATTTGAGTACGACGTTTCGCTGGTTATTACATCCAGCATCCTCGGGCGATTTGCCAGTATTCCGGTGGTGGAGGGTTTCGACACACTTATACTTACGCAAATCTAACCCAAAAACCTTTATTATGAATAATATTTGGTCGCGAAAAGCCTACGTGTTAAACTAAGTCATCAAAGTTGGGCTCATAAATATGTCAATATTACAGGGCAACCAATTACGTCACGTAGCAAATTTGAGTAACCACGTAACACAGTTATTTCCCCCCCCCCCTGATATTTCAAGACTGCCTTCACACGCTAATGAATGATTGCACAATTACAGAATTTGGACGGGTGCACGTTTATGAAGCCAATAAGATGTGACAGTCTCTCGGAAGACGTGGGAATGCATCGACTCGAGGGTTGGTTTCGCCCCACGCACAGCAGCGGAGTGTGGATGCGGTCGAAATGTTTTCTGAACGCAGGTCGCTGATGCCCTGACTACTAAGCAGGGACGGGGGGGAAGGGGGAGGGATGCATTTCCTCCAACCAACCCCCCCCCACCCCCCCACGTCTCTTTCCTTCCCAACAGTGGCGGCTACACGGCATTATCGCCATGGTGAATCAAATGCTTTTTTGAAGATTACTCAAGGGACAACATTGGACCGCCATTGTTTTGAAAAGAGGAAACTGAGTGGAATGAATGAGATATGCCTGTGGCAGCAATTCGATTATACATTTTTTAAATTTGTAATTAACAAAAATCTCGGTGGTGTGCGCCGTGTGTTTGAATTTGAATGCAGGAGTCATTAAGCGGTAGCTGTCATACGTGACGCATGCTCGGTGCATGTGAATTTGTTGTGCGCGTGCCCACGCATAGGCATTTGTTCGCTTTCTGAATGACGGCCATCACCCGACTAGCAGGAGGAAGCACACACGTGTGACCGTGGCCGTTCGTGTGGTGCCGCGGTTGTGACTAGCATAGTAATAGACTCTGATAAACCCCAAAAGGGGACGTTGGTGCCAAGCCACACAACAAGGGAGCGTGCTCGAGTAAAAGCTGTTGCCGAGTGAATGTATTTCAATAAGGGATGCAGAAGAATCGGTGCCAGGGGCACTGGGTGAGTGACGGGAGGATGGCATTGTGTTTTTGGCGTGGGGAGGGACAGTCCATCTTGGTTATGCTTGGTTTTAATGAGAGTTCTTCTAAATGGTGGCGATGAGACAAACAAGGGGTAGATAGTTGTCAAGTTGGTTTGAATAAGGCGCTGGTCTGCGCATACAAAAATGTATAGCTTAACAGTATTTTATTGCAATTAATATTACACGATATGTACCACACAAGGGTATAATAGTAGATATAATATACATCGTATACCACATAATGGTATTCTAATACATTTAATATACACTACGCAACATATTGTAGTGCATTTATTGTATGGTACATCATACATTTTGGCATTCTATTGCATTAAATGTACATTCTATCTTTTGTCCTTTGCCGGTATGTCAGATAGTCTATTTTTTTCCCTACCGGTATGCATTGCCCATGCATGCCGGCTTTTTTAACCGCTGGTAGAGTAGAACGGTGAATTGCACTGGCACCTCGATGACTGTCTTGCCAACATGCTGAATGGTTGGCGTCCCGTACAGCATTCCGTCCTCGTGCGGGGAGCGCTGCAGATAGCGCAACCACCCAGGCCGATCGGGGAATCCCTGGAGGTTGGTGTGGAAGGTGATCGGGTCATCTACGATCGACAAAGCCAGAGAGGGCAAGACACCTTTACTCCATTGATTATACTGATTTAGATTACCACCATGTGGAGCGACACGTTTAATTAAACGAAATAGGAAGCTTTATTTGTCTGCTGTGTTTCATCTAAAGCACCCCATCACAAATGGAGTTTAGGCCCTGTAGAAAACACTCCGTTTTGATATAAAATGGTTGTGCTGAATGAATGCAGTGTTTCACACGCAGCATTACATTTCATGACAGGGGCCAAGACCTGTCATCTGGAGGTCAATAAATTACCGTTAGCGTTTGACCATTGATTATAAAAGGACAGACCTTGCTAGAGCTGGTAGTCTGAAATGAAATCATCCACTGTAATGGCTATTGCATTATATTCTTAGTTCTTTCGGTAAAGTCACGTTGAAGGGAAACATCAAAATAATAAAATATATATAAAACAATAAAAAATTCTCACGACGTTTCGACCATAACACAAACGATCATAGTACTGGAGCTCAGGGGTACAGATAAATTAAGGGGAAGGAGGCGCTATGTGAATCGATGTGTGAAATTTCCGAGCTGCTAGCAGCGTTGAGTACCTCGGTGTTCCTGCGGCGATGGGAAGAAACGCTTGTAGTAGGTGCGGTCCAGCACATGCACGAACGTGACCCCGGGGGAGAGATAAAAGTCCTGATCGCTACCCGTGAAGCTCAGCCAGCATAGAGTAAGGAGCAGCACTGCACACCATGCACGTCACCCACCATACAGATCATGCACTTTATATGTAACTCACCATTCACTTTACTCACCATAGACCAGTGCCATAGCGAACGAGTGTGGGGGCGGTGCAATTGCAGTGGACACCACGGGTTGGTGGGGCTAGGCACCGAGCTATCAGGGGAAAAATTGGACAGGGCGTCCCATTTCATTCCTTGCACCAGGGCCAATATCAACCATGCTACGCCACTGCCATAAAGGTCACCCAACAAACACATCAGTGACATCACCCACCACAATGTAGCTAAATTGACCTCGTGTAATTGGTTAGGTCCAAGGTCAGGGTCAGGGTCAGGGCAATGGCGAGGGGTGGCTGAAACTTGTTTTGCCTTGTGTTGTAATAATAATACATTTACCATAAAACCATAAAAAAAACAATTGGCAAATAACGATAACACGGTGAATAATGCTCACAAGGGCTGTTGTCATATGCAGTGTGGAGCTAAAAAATATCACGATGTTTGATAAATGATAATTTGGGCAATATTGTTTGGGTCTTTCGGTAAAGTCACGTTGATAGGTTCAAAGAAAATAACAAAAAAATTACAAAAAACTACGACGTTTCGATCGTAACGCAAGCGGTCGTCATCATCCTCCTCTTTTTAAAATTTTCTTTGAACCTATCGACGCGACTTTACCAAAAGACCCAAAGAATATTAATTCCTGCAGTCACGAAAGCTTCAAGTCAATTTGAGCAATATTTTACACTGTAATTATATGCCTCCGTATTTGTGTAAGCCTAACAGCATGAACACATCTAAACACCTTTGTTCTCAACATTGCCTTCAAGATAAAAAGTGTATAATAGCTGACGTTTTGGGCAATGGCCCTTCTTCACAGCACATGGGCTAGAGAGGTAGAGGGAGGCCAACGAGACAGATAGAGTCAATGCATATCAAGTTTGGTACATGCAGGGTACGAACCAATATGTGTGCACGTCAGCGTTTTAGCATTGCAGGGCAATAAAGATGTAAATTTGTTGAATCTACGACTCAGCATGTGACACTTTCTAGAGCTACTGGGCACGTTTCTTTCCACGCTCCTATTAAGGCCCACGCAAGCCAGCCGTCAATTGCGTGCAATTTCAACTGATTCGCGCAGAGTGCTGAATTTGCCTACATTACTGTGTGAATTAATAACACAAACGCTGTACAGCAGAGGCACAATAGGCGCACTAATGTAAAATGCGCGTAATGCACATTTTGTGATGCATTAAAACCATCGTAACTAAACGTGAACTAATTTTCGCTGACAGTACATACTCCCCGTGCAAACAGCGTACACCACTAACATGGGTCTATTCTAAACAGCAAATACAAACACACATTCGTTCAGTGGGGGGTTGCCCTTTTCAGCACCCACAGCCAGAATGGACAGCGCCCCGGACATATGGACGCGTGCTCGCCCTCACCTGCGCGCGCGCACCGCGGCCCCATAGTCCTCGCGTCTCTCCCTCTCTCTCACAGCAGCAACAGCAGCAGCAGCCGGCTCTGATCCTCCTCCTCCATCTCCCGTGTCAGCCGGACGGGATGGCAGGCGTACACGATTCAGCCGAGAGAGAGAGAGAGAGCGAGGGAGAGATATTCTCCAGACACGCAGGACACACGCGCACAATGGCTCCGCGCGCATGCGCCCCGCTCTGCCCATTGTGCTGGGTGATAGCGTGCATGGCTGATGAATAGAGTGAAGACCAGGACGAGGTGGGTTTTTTTTATTGGGGAGCGGAAGGCGTGCGCTTGTTTTTACACTTTTGTTTTATTCATATAAAGCACACACTATACGTGGCAGCGAGAACGAGGTGTCACCTATCAGTGGCATAGCATCGTTGGCATAGGCGCTCCCTGGTGCAAGTAATTGAACGTGGACCTTGTAACCCCCCCCCCCCCCATCTTTGTAGCCAGCCGCCAGTGACTGGGAATATCCACATGTGGGCCCTAGTGCAGTTGCACCGCCTGCACCACTCGAGAATAGCTACGCTACTGTTACGTAACACGAGTTTGCACCATAATCAGTAAATACTATGATACATGTAAGTCGTACAGAAATAGTTTTCTCCCAAGGAACAGAATGTTATTCTTGAAGGTCAGGAAACAGACATTATTTTCATGCTGTTGCGTTTCCACGACCATTATAAATCAGACATGAGCCGTGCCAGACCGTTCCTGGAATATTTCGTTTACATTTTAGCAATCCAGATGTAGGCCTATACAGTACACGCATGTGTATTGTGCAGCACGATAGTAGTCGTTCTGTCTGTACTCAACAAAAGAAATCTCAATTATACATGCGATTTAAAAACATTTCTTAGAATAAGCACAATTACCTTCCATGCAGATGTTACAATACAGCGTACTGTATTTAAAATATTAATGTGAAATTGCATCCAGCTCTTTGTCAATCCAAAGAGCTGGATGGGGGGTAATATGACCATACTTCACCACGCTGGTCAGTTCGGGTGGAAGGCGGGGAGCACTGGCGTGGGGGAACCACATGTAAAGTGCAATGGTTTTAGATGTACAGTACTGCCCTTGGCTTCCCACAACGTATCCCACGTTAACATTAACCTTCATCAAACTATTTAACGACTTCCTGTACATTTCTTAAGGATGTTTTTTTAATTGCAGGATGGAGATGTCCTTTTCACGACTCATATTTTAAATGCGTTCTTCACTTTCAAGGTACAAATGGTAAACAGTGTTAAAGCTTTCATGATTATACGCCTTTCTATCGGCGTGCGAATATTCTCGTGTTGCAGCGGAGACAAAACTCTAAGCTGCACATATGTGCAGGATTATTTTCTCTTCAGTGTATTTGTGCGCGTGTGTTTTTGTATGATATTGCCTCTGCACAGATCGGCTCGCAGCTCAGTCTGGCGAAACCACGGACCGTGAGGAAGTTGGCGATGTCTATACGAGCAAGAACAGCACGCACACCCCCCCCACACACATTACAGAGCTGCATGTGTAGCAGCCTGACGATTTCTTGCTCGAGCCACTTGCTGGTAGAAGGGCCCTCCACTCGATGGAAAGCCCTCAAACGATTGTTTAGAGAGGGCATTTTTGGCCTTCTCTTCCACGCTGGCAAGACGTTTTGAAAGACGCGGGGAGTAACCACATTTTTACTTAAACCACACGGGCGATCTGCCAATTGAATAAGATGCAACAAACGTTGTTTCCTCTGGGTTAAAATTGATCCAGTGTGCTAACCATTACACTGTGGCAGCATTATACGAGATGCGTATGGGAATTCGCCACACCGGCAGACACTGAACCAACCGGTTGGAAACCGGTTAAAATAAAACAAAAACTGCTATCAAGGAGTGGAAGGCAATCTTGAGCATCCGACTGTACACATGTAAATTCCTTAAAACGCACTGGAGCTGCTGCTGCTACATCTTTTAGAAACACCCAGAGGACCGACACCCACGCATCTGGGCTATTTAGCACCCCCCCACCGCCCACCTGAATATGATTGACGCTGGCGAACAAGAGTCGAACAACGCAGACGGCCAAAATAAACACCTCATTCGACACCCAACAATCATTGCACCTCCTGGCTCTTTAGATTTCCTCCTCGAAGACACCGGTATTAAGCATGGGCAGCAATCAGAACATCAACGAGCCGATGCGCACATCTTCATGAATGTGAATGTACAATGGAAGGCAAGCCGCGGTGCGATGGTGGCCATGCAACCCAAACAATGGGCCACGTTACTTCGTTACTTCAACGGAGGAGGAACAGCAAAATTAAACCAACTCTCTCCTGAAAGCGCCTCGCCTCGTGGCTGGCCTGATCTCAACACTGGCATCTCCTTTAACATATTGATGCCAAACGCAAGACTGTAACATGATTTACGTACAACAGTACCGGCGGTAATGGGCCGTCCATAAATGACGTCACGCGATTTTGGCCGATTTTTTTTACCCCTCCCCCTCCTTCGTCACACGACGTCACAAAAAGTCAGACCCCCACCCCTCAAATATGACGTCACAAAGCTCTGCCCCCCCCCCCCTAAAAAATATAAAACATGCTTAAAATCGCTTTAAACTATTGTCATTGTAGTCCGTATTTAATGTGGCGCTGCACTCTGATGTTGTAGGAGAAAACATTTGTTAAAAAGTATATTTAATTAAGTAGAACGTGTTGTCTATATTTATTTAAAGTTGCGCATTTCCATGTGACGTCAAATTTCTCAAACACCCCCCCCCCTCGTCACACATCGTCACAAATGTCTGACCCCCCCCCCCCCCAGGTGTGTGACGTCATTTATGGACGGCCCCTAACATGCTACATTAAGTGATGCCGTAGTTGTAAAGACTTTTAAACCAGGCGTTTGCCAGTTTCGATCTCCTGGCGCCAACCTGCACTGACCACAGCGGCGAAGCATAGTCAAGTGACCCCTATTCCAGCAGAGGGTCAACAAAGGGCTGTGCATTGTTTATACATTACGGATCTATTTTATTTATTTATTTTTAACGTGAGTTTACGTTCTGGATTTAAAGCTTTCGTGACTGCAAGGATCCATACTCTTTGGTTCTATTCGGTAAAGTCACGTAAAAACAACAAAAAATAAAAAAAATCATGACGTTTCGGCCACAACACAAGTGGCCTTCATCAGGTGAAGGGACCGTGCTGTCATGAGGACAGCGTTGGAGTGAAAATTTCTCAAACACCCCTCCCCCCCCCTCAACACTCCAACGCTGTCCTCATGCCAGCACGGTCCCTTCACCTGATGAAGGCCACTTGTGTTGTGGCCGAAACGTCGTGAATTTTTTTTTTAATTTTTGTTGTTTTTTACGTGACTACCGAATAGAACCAGAGTATGAGTCTACGTTATACATCGATAGCCGATAGAGGGCGCTGTTACACACAATGTTTTAATACAAACATCGATTCTTGAATCGCCTACGGGGGACTCGGAAACTTGGGAGCGCATCGAATCGAGAGGGCAGGGGCACCAATCTTGGGACTCCCCCAACGCCCACTGCTGAACACAGCCAAGGAGTGGAACGCGACCCGGAGATGGAGCGATGAAAAGCGTGGCTCCAGTGCACGGGCTGGATGGGATGGTTTTATTGTTACATCGCCGGCTCGCGGGAGATGTCGGCAGTGGATTGACCATGGCTGATGATGATGATGACAGCCCCGGCGTGCGTGCGTAAAATTGAAAAATCCCCTTGCTGTTGCGGACTCCGCCAAACCAGCACCACCACCCTTTCCCCGCCTCCTCCTCCCTCCATCCTCCTCCATCCTCGTCCCTCCCTCCATCCTCCTCCCTCCATCCTCCTCCATCCTCGTCCCTCCCTCCATCCTCCTCCCTCCATCCTCTCGGCAGCCGAGAGCCCCTCCCTCCATCCTCCTCCCTCCCTCCATCCTTTTCCATCCATCCTCCTCCTCCCTCCATTCTCCTCCATCCTCCTCCATCCATCCTCCTCCCTCCCTCCATCCTCTCGGCAGCCGAGAGCCCCTCCCTTTGCGAGTGACGCAAAAGCTTTGCGAGTCGGCCGGTGGGAGGGACCTGGGGGAGGGCGAGACGAGTGGGGGTGGTGGTGGTGGTGGGAAGAGTCGGGTGTTAGTGGAGGGTTCGGCCGCCGATCGTAGTGGTGCTCGCTGCTGCTGCTCATGATGATGATGATGACGGTGGTGGAGTCAGCGGTGATGGGCTGACGGCTGCCGGTTTGGTCTTAGTGGCGAGCCGCTCGGACGACCGGGAACTGAACGCAGGGATTCTCCTTGGGGTGAGTGGCGGTGCTCGTGGTGCAAGAGAGAGAGAGAGAATGTGAGTGTGTGTGTGTAACGTGTTTCAGATGGATGGTACGGTCCAAAAGAGAAAGCGAGGAGGGGAGAAAGAGAGCGAGAGAGGGAGAGGTGGGGTTTTGGGGGCAGGCAGGCTCCTTTGTCGCCCAGCCGGGCGCCCGTGTGCATGTTACACTCAGCCTGCCCCCCTATTTATGTGTGCATGTTACACTCAGCCTGCCCCCCTATTTATGTGTGCATGTTACACTCAGCCTGCCTGCCTGCCCCCCTATTTATGTAAACCGCGCGTACGTGCGCGCGCGTGCGCTCGTGAGCGCACGCGCGCGCATTGAGCGCCGCGGGATGAGAGTGCGAGGAGCGGGGCTGGCGCTGGGTCGGTAACGCGGACGAGGAGAGAGGAGGAGTTTAAAAAAAAGAGAGAGCGAGAGAGAGCGACATGGAGTAGGAAGAGAGGGGGTAGAGAGAGAGACGGGAGGGGGCAGAGAGGGGGGTAGAGAGAGAGACAGAGGGAGGGGGTAATGAGAGCAGTGCGAGAAATATTTTGTTAAATCTTTCATTTAAAAAGGGGGAGGGGGGGTAGGTTACATAAAGCAAAGCATTAAAAAAAACGAAATGATGAACGAAGCAAAGTGCCGACTACACCGAGCATCTTGTTTCCTCTGATCGTAAAAAAAAGAGAGGAAGGAGGAGGCACGGAGGGGGGGGAGCTTCAACAACGCGGCATATGCGGGAGGATGCACGGTGGTGCATCCGTGGGGTAGAGAGGAAAGCGGTCATATGATGTAGGGCTTCTCACGGATCAACACCCAAAGCTTGCTGCTGCTGTTGTTGTGTGATCAGGAAGGAAAACGAAGGCTGCTGCGGTCAGAAGGTGTTAATAAGACGAAGCGACAGTACGAATAATTAGCCAGGAGCTATTGTACATTTTGATACGATGCGTAAGCTGAACAATGTAGCCCGGTGTATATGTTGCGTAAGCTCGGGTGGCATTGTGTGGCTGTAGTCGTGTAGTCTGGGTTTTAGGGGTTTTTGTTGTTGTAAAGGACGCACGGGCTGTGTGCTAGGAGTTTACGTCCTGCAGGCCAGTCAGCCGAAACGTCGATATCTAATTTTTTTTATCAGTGACCGTAACACACACAGAACAATCCAACCGTGTTATTATTGTATAATTCACATCGGATTACAGTCCAAGCAAGGTACTGGGGCGACTGACCTTCAACAACAAGCCTGAGGTTTGGATTTCATTGTGTACACGTACATTGATATGTGTTCCTGTTGCAATATCTGTAATGCGCTATCTATTGTTACTGAGAAGCTTGCACCTGCCTCTACGAGATGCATGTAATTCGCCGTTTGCATCAATTGGGAATGGACGCTCAGAGCAGAGAATGCCGCAGTCTTTATGCCCGGTTTACGACTGTTGCTGTTTTCATTCTGCGAATAAAACAAGCCTTTAAATACATTTGATATCCGCAGACCATGGTGGTGGAAGAGGGGAGAGGGGGACACACACGGCTTTGACAAACGCCAGTCCCGTTTGACAGCATCTGTAAAATGTACATAAATGAAACGTAAATGTAGGGGATGACTCGTTTCTTTCCCAATCTCGCCTCGGTGTGGAGGAGCGGGATGCCCTCTTTCATTGCGAAATATGGCGCCCAGATTTCAATGCAGCCTCCCATTGAAAGTCACAGCGCCCGAAAGAAGACGACTACAATGAGCGTCATCTACCGGCGTTTGACACAAAAGATTAGCCCTGTATAAATAAATAGGCAAACGCGGGGTGATGGCAATGCAAAAAAAAATGCGTTTCCACCGTGGCGAATATTTTCGCACGAATGTTGCCAATTTCCTTTCATGGAAACGGGTGGTGTTACACGTAAGATGTGTTACATTGTGCAAGGGTGAAGGAAGGAGGCTGCTTGCAAATAATTATTTTATTTTTCACCTACATTTGAGTTTGTTTCTCTTTGGGAGGATGCAATGGTGGTCGTGGGATGATGATGAACGTGACAACCATGTGGTCTGCATTCACGATATATACGAGTCATGCAATTGTATACATGTGGTTTTACAGGCAGTATTTATATTCACTTTAGTTATTGTGTTGGCCGCTTAAGTAATAATTAAGGGCCTATTATATGTTTTTCTTTGATAATGATAACAGTGCCACTTGGGAGTGATGGCCAAGTGGTTAGTACATTGCGCTATAAACCCAGCGACCTGACCCAAGTTCAATTCCTGGCCATGACTAACGTCAGTGGATAATTATATCAAAACCGGCCCTGGGCCTCCACCAAGTTGCACAAACCAGTGTGGTGAAGTATCGTCAAACTACGCTCAATAAACACCATGCCGTGGAAAGGCCTTCATTTATGGATCGACATACATTACAGTATTTAATAACTTTACACCGCTATGCTAACGATTGGACCCTGCAAATTGTTGACCTGTTTGTCCATAGACATTGCAGAATAGCTGTGCCAAATCCTTCTTTCTTACCGATTCCATTGGGATTTTATGCCAAACGTAATGAATAGCAGCAACAGGCCATGGACATCTTCTGGTCCTAACCCTGAGTGTGGCATTGCCGGGTGAGCTTATTAACGCTCTCCATTGCGTTTTCGTATTGTACCGCATTTTGTTCCACATGATATTGGACAACTTTGTATGTCATGCCGAACAACTCGCAGTACAACCCGAAAGCACATCGGTAGAGCTTTACAGGACAGTGCCTGAAGCCGACGCAAGTGCTCATTATAAACACGTATTTGCACCCACAGCCTGGACCATGATGAAGACTGTGGAGGCTGGTGGCAGCCGGGAGAGGACTCCACTGAGGAGCGCTTCCCCTCACCGCAACGCCTACCAGACCGAGTTCCAGGCCATCAAGCGCACCTTTGACCGCACGACCAGCCGTGATGGCAATGGCGGCGATGAGGCCGCGGGCCACCATGGGCCGGGCCAGCAGCATCGGGGCCGAAAATACGGGGCCCACGTCAGCCGCATCAAGAGCATGTTCCTGGCCATGCAGAGTGTGGACGGAGGCAGCCTGGATGGGGAGGGACCCCCTCCGCCAGGGTCAAGCGCCACGGCCCGCGGTGGCGATAGCGTCCCCGTCTCGGTGAAAGCCAAGGCCAGGGCCTTTATCGCACCGCCACCCTCCCCGACGAGGGCCTATGCGAGGGCGAGCGCGAGGGGCGGCGGTGAAGGTGGAGAGCGCGGAGGAGGCACGGAACGAGGAGTGCGAGGAGGCGGGGAACGAGGAGAGCGAGGAGGCGGAGAACGAGGAGAACGAGGAGAGCGAGGAGGCGGAGAACGAGGAGAGCGTGGAGGAGAACGAGGAGAGCGTGGAGGAGGAGGAGGAGAACGAGGAGAGCGTGGAGGAGGAGGCGTTGGAGAGCATGGAGGAGGTGGAGGAGGAGGTGAGGAGCGTGGGGACTCTCCGGGCAGGAGGGAGGGCCGTGTCAGGGAAAGGGTGAGTCGCATGAGTGGGAAGCCGGTGTCGCGCGAGGGCGGCGCGGCCAGCATCTCGGAGCGCATTACTGAGGCTCGCAAGATCTTCGACCGGACCCTGCAGCGGCAAGACACGGGGGCCACGGCAAGGTCGGCCCTCACCACCGCCGCCTTCCCATCCCCTCTCAAGGAGCGCAAGGGCTCCAAGGATAGCATCCTGTCGGACCTTCGGGGTGGCGGTGGCAGCTGTAAAGGCAGCACCGAATCGCTGGACAGCCTTCTCACCAGCCCCTGTGCCGATGCGGTGTCGCCCACCGTCAGCCAGCTGGCCGCCGTCTTCGAGCCAGGCAGCGCGGCGTTGGCCAAGCGGGAAGAGGAGGCTTCCAAACTCGTTGATGACAAGTCTGCTGCATCTGTCTTGGACGGCCTGCCGGAAAAGTTGCAGAACAGCGATGCTGGAGGTGGGCTCGCCAGTGACGAGATGGCTCCGAACGGGGTGCAGGTGCAGCTTGCATCGGAGCTTGTAAATAAAGTCGGGTCACCGTCAAAAAACGTGCAGATCAAGGTGGACTCTCCCAAACGTGCTCGGGTACTTGAGTCCATCAATGACAGCGGCTCTCATTCAGAAGAGGCGGAGAATTCAGTTCAGTGTGGCGTTCTGGCGCAGCCCATAATCGCAAACTGCACTGAGGCCGTGTGTGTGAACTCGGTGGACGAAGACGCTAAGGGAGACGCTGGTGATATGAAAACAGTGATTTTATTGGGGGGCGACCTGACGAGCGAGAGCAACATCGACGACGACGACGACGACGTCGTTCCGCCAGATTCTAAATTCTCGCCAGATGGCAAGGAGCCCCGCAACGCTGAGCCCGATGGTTCGCTACCGGCGGCGGCGGCGGCGGCCGCCACCGCCAAACGCGAGTCGGAGCCCAAAGTCATCGAGAACGAGACGTTCGTGGAGGACGGCGAGGAGGCTTTCCCCACCGGAGTCGATCGCGACGACGCCAATGACGACGACTTCACCATCGACGCGGACGACGATGATGACGACGACGACTTGCAGGACGCCGGCTATGAGGTGGACGCCTACTATTACATGGAGATGCCTGGCCTGTCCGACGAGGAGGAGGCGCCACTTGCAAGCAGGAAGATTCGCTTCAGCACCTCCCCCATTAAGGTATTTCATACACATTGAGCTGCAGGGGTCGAGAGGTGACGTCCCCGTTCATGGCGACTGCTAATTTTATCCAGCTGGTGGCAAACCCACGAAATGACTAAAGCCAGTGTGCCCCTTTTATGATATGAATTACATGTAATTGCGAGATGTCCTTTGTTTTAATTCAAAGCAGAGTGGTTGGATAATGCTGGACAATTACACATAAAAGCAGCTACACTGTATCCATGGGGTATTCAGTACTATCTGTGACTGCTTAAACCTTTAAATATGCTTATTTGGTTACGATAAGTCGGATATATCAATAAATATCTATATATTTATTTTACAGATACAATAAACTGCCAGTAATTAACGTTGAGCTTTTCCACATGTGTCTAAACCAACACTGGACCAGGAGAGAGGCGAGTAGCTGTCCTACAAGATTGGCTCAATGAGAGCATTAACATGATTTCCAACTTGCCTTAACTTGCCAAGAACAAAAACAAAAACAGGTTTTCATAAATCATTCTTTCACTTCCCACACTGGTGCTTTGTGCGGGAGCGTGAGTAATAGTTTCCCATGTTCCTTTATTACACTTTTATTATTAGTAATGCTTACTTAGGGAACAAAACCATAGCAACAAATAACGAAAACTCTCCATGCAGAACTTGATTGCGTTCTTCATCCGATGGATCGGGTTTTAAGCCGTGCAAGATTTGAACCTTAATCGGTGCAAGTGCAGAACTATGGGTGAGGTATCAGCGTTTGTTAGCTGTGCCTGGTGAGGATAAGAGTTAATCCTGCATCTGGTTTAAAAAAAATGTTGCATCCTTTCCCTTTGTGTTCCCCAAATACTGAACACCTTTTGCTGTCACACAACACATCCGTGTTTACCCCATCAGTGAACCATTACGGCATTATTAGACTCGCTCCTGTGAAAGACACTGCGTTCTTAATACGCCCTAAATTTAACTCGTTGGCATCTGTGCCTTTTAATTAGCATTTACTGTCTCGAAATCATCGCTCTTTCCGAGGTCACATGCTTCCCATGCCACGTGGTTGCTGTGTACCAGTTTTAAACTATTTCAACTATAAACTATTTTTTATTTTACCAGGTAAGGCCCACTGAGCTATATAGCTCTTTTTCAGCAGGGACCTGGCCACAAGTGAGAGCTCAACAAAGTGGCTTATCACGTGTAAATTTATAGCAGACAAAATACTCTAAACGCATGTTTCTAAATGTGGGGAGCAGGCGTCAGGGTCTGAATCGAACCCACAACCTCCTGTACACCAGGCGAGGCAGTTAACATCTTGCCACCGTGGCATCTTGGGGAGGGAATCTCCACGCCTTGTAGTGAGCGTCTCTTTGCATTGGTGCAAGACAACTGAGTCATCAGTCGTGTGATTCGCTGTGCATGTGTACATGCACAACCCTTTTGTCAATCTACTGTTGGACGAGGGCCTCTCCAGGGCCGTGTGGTTTGTGTGGGTTGTATGACCATATTTGATTCTCCACGCTGCTGGGTGTGGGTTGGTAAAGGCGGGGTGCTTAAATATGGAAGCATAGCAGCACGGTACAACAATTCATTTTGCTACAATGATAATAATAATAAAGCACCTTTCACCCGGAGATCACAAGGCACTGTAATGCCCTCTGCTGACAAAGCAGCCCACAGAAGCCTTCAACCACTTTTTTTCCATGCAAAGTGGTCACCCATCAAAGCACTATAAAACTATAAACAGTTTTACATTTTACTAGGTAAAGCCCACTGAGCTTTTTCAGAAGCGACCTGGCCACAAATGATAGCCCAATGAAGTGGCTCATCACGTGCTATATTTTATAGCAGCCACATACTCTCAACACATGTTGATCCTAAATATGGAGGGAAAAACCAGAGGACCTTGAGACAGAGAACAAACTCCAAATATATAGGCATCCGGGTCGAGATCGAACCCACGACCTCCTGTATACTAGGCGAGGTAGTTAACATCTCGCCACCATGGCATCAGGGCACTGTCCAGGCACAAGCCTGCTTCGCTTAAGAGATCTGGCAGCTCGGGTGCATTCCGAGTGATTTAGTCATAGGTAATTCACGGTACCTGCATATAAATCCTTGGGAGTGCGGACTAATGCATCTGGGTAGGCAGTTCCGGTGGTGACTTTCCAAGTTAAGTGGAGACTGCTGTCTGTGTATGATCATGGCAACCTGTGTTTCATTGGCTCGATCGAGATGTTCCAGCACAGGCGTTTGATGTGACCTCACATTTGTATTCGAGGCTTGAATGCACTTTTGCTATTTACCACTCTTGTGTGTGGTATGCTATGCAAGTGCATTTGTCTAGGCTATGCACTGTATTTGTGTCCAGCTTTAGGGAACTCCGCAACCCGATTTCGATTATCAGTCACGGCTAACAGCGGTGACGAGTGATATATGAACCTGTCCTGGGCTACGCCACGCCCTCCCATAACCTCTACTCCCACCCACAATGATCAGATTAGAGAAATATGGGGACAAAACCTCAATGTCGAAAGGTTTTGGGGAAGCTTTCATCCAGTAGAGGATTGACAAATGGCTGTAAATCTCTTTTAAGCCAACCAACATTTTTGCCTGCATCCTTTACGCAGTGGCATTTCATCGTAGTATATCCAATGTTATTGTATGCTGAACTTATTTCATCTTAATACATTTTGCAATGTGTCATACTTAGCCGTGGCTGCGTTCCCTGGATGCCAAGCGCTATACAAATATGTTCACGTTCTCTAAAGGGCGCGTAATGTGAAATATTTTGGCGGATCGCACGTGGTGGTCCGTGTTGGCTTCTCGACAAGTGAGCGGTCTTTCGTGTTGACACGCCACCCCCTCTCTCACGCTTCGTCGTCCTTCAGAGGTGTGTTTCAGCCACTGCCGTCGTGGTCTGCTTAGTACCACGGGATTTTCTCAGTTGTCGTAAGTTGCGAATACGGCACAACATCCCTTATCTGACCTGACGAAATAACTGCCTACAGACAACTGCAGTGTTTGTTCATTGTGTAACTATTAAGTTCTATAGGTGTTCACTTATCTGACTCTTTCACATATCCGCGTAGGCCTCAGTCCCCGGCGAGTCGGATATGCGGAATTTTGCCGTGCCGATGCGTTTTTTCCCCTCCATCTCTTTCGCACAGTTGTGCTCCCTATGGAGAGAGAGAGCGCTTATGATATTCCGCTTGTGTAAATTTAAGCTTGGGTGGTTCGTTTTTATGGATATTTTACCATGCCACATCTGGAAGCCAAAGGGGAACGTTGCCATGTGCCCCAGGGAGCTTGCAAAGAGAACCACTATAAATAATTAAAACCTAAAACCGGCCTCGACCGAGTCTTACAGGCCATTCTCATGGTAGTGTCTTTAATTTTACTCGTGTGTTTTTAAGTGAGGCAGTGCTTATTGCAGGGAGAGGATGTAAAACGATTACATCCAATGTAATTCGTATTCTGTAATCTCTTTTTATAGTTCATCTGTTGTTTTCATATATTTGCTGTGTGGTCTGCACTGCTCATTTAAGTATTACCACACAGATGACGTATGCAGTTAATTTACAGTACAGTGGACCCTTGGTTCAAGGTGAATAGTCTTAAATTTTGTTTGGTCTTGTGATGCTGGCTTTGCCACCTCCGCCCATGTAGCTTAGGTGACTCCATCTCTCCTTTGGACATCTCCTTCTAACTATTCCCCATCCCGTCATGGATGGGTGTTCTGGGATAAACTCTAAACCACGTATATATTTAAAAAAAATTACCCATGCTCGCTTCATTGGAAAACTTTACAATCATCTCTACACATGCACTTTATCTGCCAGCTTACAACAATATAATACTTTATGGACTGTAGGATTGCGTTGGTTATCACGTTTTTCCAGAGGCACCCAACAATTATGAATAGCTTGGTTTCAAAAGGATACACATTTTATTAACATCCCATTGCCTGCACGCCCGATGCGGCTAAATTTGAACATTGGCCTAATCGTATCTAAATTAGTATTGATAGCCCAAGTCGCACGGTATCTCACACCAAATGGATTTCCTGACTATGAGGTCTAAGGTCCGTGTCAGAATGTGGTCGCATATCGTCACTTGGCAACGGTTTACAGACATTATAAATGCGTAGTGCGCTGTGCATCAAAACGACTATTTCCCAATGCAAGGTAGGCATTGTTGATGCAAATGGAAACAGTCTATGATCCCAGACTAGATATTTCACTTGTCGGTACCACCTGAAGTGGGCATAACTTTAAGCAGCTCTAATTTTCCCGAACCTTCGATTAGCACGGTTGGCTATGTACGGTGCGAAAGAAGTTCAACATGCATACCATTTCTGAATGTGCTCAATAACAATAACTCGTGTCATGAACATTTGAAGTGGGTGGGTTGTCAAAAAATGCACTCGTTAGTTTAACACGTAGGCTTTTGCGACCAATATCATCCATAATACAGGTTTTTTTTGGGTTAGATCGCGTAAATATATAAACCACCAACCGACGCAGCCAATTAGTAAGGGTTGTCACGTAAACAGAACATGCCACAATGCGTTACTAGTACAGCACACCGGTGTGTTGGAGAGCAATGCCACACACCATCTTCTGTCAGGCTGTCACCAGGCTGTCTCCTGATGAAGCTAGTTGTAATTACTGGCGAAACGTTGGACTAAAAAATGCACTCGTATTGGCCGTATATAAAATAAAATCTGTGCTACAAAAGTTTTGCCAACTGGGGTGGCACTATTGTCTCTCTGGGCTGTGTGCACTCTTGTTATAGGGCATGAGCGCACGGTCTGAACGCAGAGCCCACTTGCCTTGTAGCAGCTCGCAGTGCACGATGTGCACTCTACGCATGGCCCATGCACACGTGGCCGTGCGTGCACACACGTGATCATGTGGGTGTACACAACGCGAGTGCGTGTGCCGGTGGTCAGTGCGGTTTGTGTTACAATCGTTGCCTCATTTAGGTCGAGACCCCCTTGGGGGATGCAAAAAAAAAACAAG